GCATCATATTGTGATTCTACGTGTACACATGTATGACGTTTTTTTCTCTTGTTTTAATCCAGGCTTGTGTCATTTTATTATTTTATAACTAGTCCAGTCAGAACAACTGATGCTCTCCAACAGTTTATAACATTATTTTCTTGCAGCCATTTGAATTTATTGTTGAAGAAGAGGCATATGACATACACCTCCACATTTACTATGAAGTATTCTCTGTGCCTATATTCTCTCAATGCATTAGTGCTTTGTAAGGACATACGTGCAACATTTCCTTTAGAATTTAGCGCCAAGAGAAATCTGTTTTCCCTATGCAACTGGTAGCATGTATCTTATCTCAGAATTAAAGTCACGGGGTTTTTAATGTTTCTCTTTTTGCATGGCTTTGCAGAAATCTTGGACAAAAATATTAGTAATTATGCCAACCCTGAATGTTTTATAGATTTGCTTCTTTCTTTCTTTGAACATTATGTTCATCTAATACTCTGTTAATCGTACTTTTGTTATAAATATGCTTTTGTTATAAATCACTCACACTCTTTTTAAAAAAACGTATGTTGTAACTGATTTTAGAGAGAAGAGAGGAAAGAGAAGGAGAGAGAGAAACATCTATCAGACGCCTCCTGCATGCCCCTACTGGGGATCAAACCCACAACCGGGGCATGTGCCCTGACTGGGAATTGAACTGGTGACCTCTCAGTGCTTAGGATGATGCTCAACCAACAGAGCAGCACCAACCAGGGCACGCCCCTTTCTTTTGAAAAGATAAGTTTGAAAAAAAAAAAAAAAGAGAGAGAATGGAAGGGAGGAAGAGAATAAGAAAATGAGGAAGGAAGCAAAAACTAAAGAAGGAAAAACTGAAGGAAAGGAGGAAGAAGGTATACCAGATTTTATCAGTTTTATTCCAAACTGCCCTTGATTTCATAGAACATACAGCATGATTTACAAGCCGAGCAGTTTGAAATACTTTTTTAGAAGAGAAAATGACTTCTAGTTTTTAATGGCTTAGAAAGGCAAATCAACTGTGTAGTTCATTCATTGGGTAAGCAACAAGGCAGGGTGCTTCACTAAGAACTACAGTTATCACTTTAACATTCTTGCATCCGTATAACGTGTTTCCTTTCATGCTTTGATCAGACACATGAAAATGTTGTTCAAGCCCTGGCCAGTTTGGCTCAGCGGTTAGAGCGTCGGCCTGCGGTCCTGAGAGACCCGGGTTCGGTTCCCGCTAAGGGCACGTACTTCGGTTGCAGTTTGTCCCCGGCCCTGGTTGGTCGTGCGGGTGGCAGCCACTCGATGTGTCCCTTCACATCGACGTTTCTCTCTCTCTCTTCCTACCTCTCCCTCCCTCCCACTCTATAAAAAAAAAAAAAAAAGAAAAAAAGAAAAAAAAAAAAAAAAAAGAAAATGTTGTTCAAAGTACTTTTTACTTATGCATGCTGTAAATGGCAGGGAATGAAAAAGTTTCATTTAAAAAAGGGAAGGTTGATGAAATCTGCCTCATACAATTTACTAGAATCTTTGGGGAATTGCATTTTGTAGCCTATCTGCATAAATAATCTTGAGAGACCACGGTGCCTTTTTAATAAATTGACTCCTAAATTACTTTTCAGTGTACCCAACTCATCATTTTAAAATCGCCGAGTTTCCTGTGCGTACCGTGTGCCTGTCCAGACAAATTCTCATTAAGGCTATAACTTCCTTTCAATTACCAGGGCGCTATGGAGACTAGTTAATAAGTGCAGGCCCAAAGATTACAGTCTTTGCAGACATTACCTGACTCATTACTGAAGAAAGTGAGAGTCTGACCTTCATCAAAAACATGGCATCTAAGGCAGTGGGGGGTACTGCTTGCTTTACACACACTAAAAAAATCTACTTCTGTGTCCCTGGCTCCAGATGGAAGGACTGTGATTCATAGGAAATGAGGTCACTGAACTAGAGAGTAAAACCTGGCTGGGGAAAAAACATGTAAATAGACAGTACACAGTTGTGTGGAATTGGCTGTCATCCACTCAGCTCAGGCCATTTTCTAGAAAGCCTTTCCTGACATGCACAAATCGAGTAGGTTCTCCTATAGTGCACTGAATTTATCACATTACATTGTAATGATCTGTTTATGTGTCCATCCCCACCACATTGGAAGCAGAAATAATGTCTTATTCATCCATGGAACAGACACGAGATCGTTGCTCATGCTTAGATTTCTGATCCGGGAGTAATCAAAATAATATATTTATATTAGCAACTGTTAAAAAAGTAGTAAAATCTATGTTTCCTTTCCAATGCATTCTCTCTTGCAGTTGTAGGAATCGACACTGTGCTGTCACCCAACATATTTCATTGAAATTCACTGAAAAAAAATCCCTGCTGTCAAAGAGGGCGTTGATCTTTTGGGCTTTGTAAATGATTTGTCTTATCTCATATATCCTCCAGGAAACAGCTTAGTTAAGACTCACAAAGCACAGTAGGAAAAACCCTTCTGTTTGTAACCATACCAATGCTTAGAAAGGTGGTGGATTGGGTCACAAGCCCCGCGCAGTGGAAGCCCAGTGTGCATCAACTGTGGAGACAAGGTCAAGTTACCAGTCTCCTTAGTCTACTCTTGACTAAGTTCCCGAGTCTATAAAACAGCTCCTCAGCATCACTGGTGACTCGTGGAACCAATGGACTTCCTGGGGGCTCACCTGTATGATCTCACCATTCAACTCAAAACCCATGTTAAGGTGGGAACCTGGAATCACCACCACTCACCTAGTGCTTTACTTGAAGTGTGAATGAAAACACACAAACTATTGTCGGTTTCAGTGCTTGGTTGACTCTTCATCAAAGATAGATTGTTCCCTGCAACTTACCTGCCTTCAAGACTCTATGTCCCAAAGCCCCACATGTTGAAAGTATTTTTGTTAGAATACAAGCTATAATGTATAACAAAGAGGATAATATATACAAACTGCAGGAAGTTTCCAACTATTGGGTACAAACCAAACTGATGATTATTTACATAATGGACGATAAGTTACAGAGCATTTTTGACACTCTGACTGGAACCTCAACAGATTTTCCTACTGTAAAATATCTCTATGTGGTTTTTAGGCACTTGACAATAAAATACAATATAACTCTTTCAGTCTACAAGAAATTAAACAACTATTACGGGTTACACTAAGACCTAACCATTATAATGATGGAAAATATGTTTTGGGCTAAAAAATAAACATTTAAAAATAAAATGTGAAAATCTATGCACAGCATGAAGACTATTATATGAATTATTCATCATTTAGAAAGAAGGGATAAGGAAAGCAATTATATTTGATTCTGATGAATTAGAAATAGTTGAGATAATTTTCAAATGCTGAGGGTAGGTATGGATGTGGACTGAAATTATTTTCCTTGTAGCTTTATACAATCTTTTAGAATAAATTAGAAAAATCACTCCCTAGTTCAGGACAGAAAAAAATGACATAACTGGACAATTTTTGACATACTTTTAGATTAATAGATATACCTACATATATATGTACACATTGCACTTATATTTATATATAACAAATTATTTTTGGTTTCAACAAATGTTTATTTAGAACCTACATTTTGAGTCAGGATAAGTTTAGATGTTAGCAATACAATAATGGATAAAATAGACATGGTTCTTACATTTATAAACCATTATACTTTATCATAACAAGCCAAATTGTCAATAATAAATATAGTGCTATAAATGATAAAATAACTATATGTGAGCAATATGGTTAAATTTCCCAAATCATCAATATCAAAGAATCAGAATTGTGAATTAGAGTTGACCAGTTGTACAACTTAAAAGAAGCAAATTATTACCACTTATTACCTTCCATTTCCCACCTCAATGCCTTTAAGACTGATGGGAAGGTAAATAATGATCATGGTGAACTTTTATATTTGATGTAACATATGATGACTTTAGAATGGGAAGTATAATAAATGTTGGTGAGTCATTAATATGGAATTATCACTTGCATTACCCTTCTTGGGGAAGCTAAACATTTTGCATATTTTTTCTCACAACAATTACATTGCTACAAATTTCCTCCCCAAATCCCCAACCTATTGTAAACATATTACAAAGATACAGAAAAAGTATGTTCTCTCTTTGCTTGGGATTAGTTATATATATTATGATACAGCATAACATGAAATACCTAATTTTTTTTTTTTTTAATCCTCATCCGAGGACATTTTTCCATTTTTTGTACAGACAGAGTGGGAGGGAGAGAGAGGAAGAGAGAGAGAGGGAAACATCGATGTGAAAGGGACACATTGAGTGGCTGCCACCCGCACGACCAACCAGGGCTGGGGACAAACTGCAACCGAGGTACATGCCCTTAGCGGGAACCGAACCCGGGCCTCTCCGGACCGCAGGTGGACGCTCTAACCACTGAGCCAAACCAGCCAGGGCGAAATACCTAATTTTTAAAAAATAATCTGTAGAATACATTTAATGACATGAGAAATGCTCCTGTTTAGGTAGGCTATAAAACAGAGCATAATTTACTAGTTTATACAATTTTGTAATCTTTCTATACACTTGTATTTATATTCTATTTATTAAAAAGCTATTAATAGTGATTAAATTGTGAGAAGGAGAGTATCAAGATCTTTTTCTTCCTTTTGCTCAGGCATATTTTCTAAATTCACAACTTCCATACATTTTAAGTATATATATATATTTTTTTTCTTTATTGATTTGAGAGAGAGAAGAAGAAAGAGAGAGAGATAGAAACATCGATGAGAGAGAACATTGACTGGCTGTCTCCTCATGCCCCCCACCGGAGATTGGGCCCACAACCTGGGCATGTACCCTGACTGGGAATTGAATTGACAACCTCCTGGTTCATGGGTCGACGCTCAATCACTGAGCCACACCGGCCAGGCATTTTTTAAGTATCCTAATAAACCCAGTTTGACATCAAATAAAAAGTCTGAGAATCTCTAAAAGAGAGCAGAGCAGAACTACTTACCCCAGTCCCAGCAGCTGACAAACAGCATTGGAGACCTGGACGTTCCAGTTCTCTGCACAAGCTCCATGCCAGGTGCCCTGGATTCGGAACTGCACCAAGCCACTGGTGCTCAGCGTGCCATTGGAGAGGCGCACTAAAGGGATGAGACACAGGGTCATTTTGGCCTAAGTTGATCAAAGTAAATAATGGACTGGGGACTAAAGATGTAATGCTCTTAACATGTAGAATTCAGAGAATGGTTGTAATTTTTCTTAAGAGTATGTTGAAAGGCCTACATTGAAAACACAAATTTGGTGGACTTAATTTTTCTTTTCAGATAACAGTTTTCTCGTGGCTGAAACAGAGCTAATTCTTATATGTTACGATCATTTTCCAGCACTTAGTTGCAGTGCACGGCACAAAATAAGTAGCATAAAATATTTGCTTAGAAAATCAATAAATGTGATACACCACATAAACAAAATCAAAGATAAAAATCATATAATCACATCCATAGACACTGAAAAAGTATTTGACAAAATCCAGCACCCATTTCTGATAAAAAAGCTCAGCAATCTGGGAATAGAGGAATCATATCTCAACATAATAAAGGTCATACATGAAAGACCTCCAGCCAACATCATACTCAATGGGCAAAAATTAAAACTTCCATTTGACCCAGTGATCCCACTTCTAGGAATATACCCTAAGAAGCCTGAAACACTGATCAGAAAGAATATATATACCCCCATGTTCGTAGCAGCACTATTTACAATAGCTAAGATCTGGAAACAACCCAAATGTCCATCAGTAGACGAATGGATAAAAACGCTGTGGTACATATACACAATGGAGTACTATGCAGCTATAAGAAAGAAAGATCTCTTATCCTTTGAGACAACATGGAGGGACATGGAAAGTATTATCTTAAGCGAAACAAACCAAACAGAGAAAGACAAGTATCATATGATCTCACTTATTTGTGGAATACAATGAAGATAACAGTCTGAGGAATGGGGTAGTCCCAGAGACGAGGAAGTGGGGTACAGACTGACAGTCCCCAGAAGAGGTGGTGGTGGGGGAGAGATAAACCACAAAACTTATATGCATGTATGCATGACCAATGGAAATGAACAACAAAGCTGGGGACAGGGCAGGGAGGGACGGGGAGAGGGGAATCAGTGGGGGAAAAAGGAGAAACATCTGTAACAAAAATAAATAATTTAGTTATAAAAAAATAAAAAGGAAAATTATAAAAAAAATAAAACATTTGAGTCTGCATTAACAAAGAACGAAATAAAGTTCAACTAAATAATAAAAAAGAATTATTTGCTTAGAAACAAAAGTAAGACACAATAAAAGTAGCCACTACTCATGATATTACAGAGATCTGGACTCACTTGAAAACCAAAACAGAAGGAGGAGCAGATAATGAAGAGACAGGAATGGAAGAACCAAGTCTGAGAAAATCAGTCCTAAATAGAGATGGTTGTGCCTCCATGTACAGAAAATGCTCGAAGTGTGATCAGTAAGATGGTGCTCAAGTGCCCGGTGTGAGCTATCGTCTCTCTGCGGTATTTTATGCTTTCTACCTACACATGCACTGTCCTAAACTTAAAGTTATTAAGTGTAGTGCATTTGAACAACAACAACAAAAAATTGAGGACTGCATTTTCACTTTTCTCTTAACTAGAATAGGGTTAGAGGTGCTGAAATCACTGGGAGATGTTCGCACCCCGAAACATCAAAATATGCCCTAAGAAACACATTCATAATCTTCCCTTCCCATCTGTAAACCCCAAATGTAGAGGCTAAAGTGATAAAAGTATTTTCCTAAAAGTGAAACATACCACAGTGCGCCTCATCGGAGCCGTCCTCACAGTGTGGGAGGCCGTCACAGAGGCTCAGCAGTGGAACACACTGTCCGTTCTTACACGGGAAACTGCCTTCCTTGCAGGGCTCTGTGGGGAAAGAATATTTACTCTATAAGGTAAAGAAATGACTCAGAGAGGATTGTGGAATATCCATTCCATTCCTGTCCTTTTAAACAAGCCCTTTTAAGCAGCATGTGGTTGAACCAGCTTTGCTCTTGAATGAGACTATATACTTAGCGGCTCAGAAATAGTAGTGTGAAAGCCAAATTCTGACTCGAGCAGAGTGTGGGTAAAACCTGAAGGGTGTCCCGTGCAGCGCAGCACGAGTCACGACACCCCCCCCCCCCACGATCTTCGTTCATTTCTCTTCAGTCAATTCCTCCATCCCGAAGTGAACATAGAAGCAACAAACGCTGGAGTGTTACCCCGGCATAGAGAGATCTCTCAGCTTCACTGTGAAAATTATACCTCCGAATCTTTATTTTATAGAAATGTGAAAGTTGCCTTTTGGCACACCAAAATTGGACCAGGCCGGAAACAGTGACTCAGAAAAAGTGTAGCCAGGTGGGGAAAAGAAGTCGCAAAGAAATGAAAAAAACTTTTAGTAACAGTAATTTGAAAGGAATTGGGGGGTTGGGCTGCAAACAAATAAAGCAGGGTTAGAGTCGTGGGATGTGCTTGGCACATTAAGAAATGGAAGGGGCCCTGGCCGTTTTGGCTCAGCGGTTAGAGCGTCGGCCTGAGGGCCCAAGAGACCCGGGTTCAGTTCCTGCTAAGGGCACGTACCTCGGTTGCAGTCTGTCCTTGGCCCTGGTTGGGTCGTGTGGGTGGCAGCCACTCGATGTGTCCCTTTCACATCAATGTTTCTCTCTCTCTCCCTCTCTTCCCTTCCACTCTATCTGAACAAAAAAATGGAAAAATCTCCTCTGGTGAGGATTAAAAAAAAAAAAGGAAGGAAGGAAAATGAAGAAACTGGACAGGAAGAAACTAAATGGATCTGGTGGTTTCCAGAGTCTGAGTGGTGCAGAAAGAGGCCCCCTGGAAATATTCACTGTTTGAAGGAGTGGGTGCTCCTGTTTCCTGGAATTGTTTGGTCCGAAGGGGACAGCCCTCATCTGACACAGAGAAGGGTTTGCTTCCCTCAAGATGTTTTTTTTTTAATCCTCATCCGAGGACATTTTTCCATTTTTTGTACAGACAGAGTGAGAGGGAGAGAGAGAAAGAGAGAGAGAGGGAAACATCGATGTGAAAGGGACACATCGAGTGGCTGCCACCCGCACGACCAACCAGGGCCCGGGACAAACTGCAACCGAGGTACATGCCCTTAGCGGGAACCGAACCCGGGTCTCTCCGGACCGCAGGCGGACGCTCTAACCGCTGAGCCAAACCGGCCAGGGCTCAAGATGTTTTTGAATTGTGTCTCAGGAGGGATAATTACATGGGGATAGGGTCTCTGTTCAGGACCCTGTGGGACTTGGATCCCCTAAGCAGGTGGTTGGGTACCGAGTGGCCTAATGCCTCTTCCCCACAGGGCACATGAACAGTCATAATGAAGAAGCAAAAGCATTTGATAAAAACAAGGAACAGGGAAGCCTGTAGTTTGAAAGCTATTAGTGAAAATTAATCATAAACTAGCAAACAAAAAAGGTCCAGTAACTATCAATACTCATCACCTATTCCCAGTTATTTTAAAAAAAGGACTAGAGGATTATTTTTTCTAAAAAGTAGACGACAGAGAGTTCTTGAGGAGGAGTGCCTCCGAGTGGGAGGGGGAAATGGTGTCATCCAGGACAGCGAAGGGTGTCCCAGGACAACCCATTCATACTGGTCGCTTTCGAGGAGGAAGACCAGCATCTCGAGAGCTGGCGACACTGCACAGGGGCTGGGGGCTTTTGTTCTGTCCACTGTGGCTGTGTAAGAAATAGATGTTAACGATACTCTAGGGCACACTAACGTGTGTGCGTGTGTGTGTGTGTGTGAGAGAGAGAGACTAAATATAATGCCCTTTTCAGTTCTGTTCAGTTCTGCTCTGTTCCATCCTGTCCTGCCCCCCCCCACTCCCCCGTCCCATTCCATAACGAGGAATGCCGACCAAAACCAAATAGATTTCATGACCCGCTTCTGGAAAAATATCAGATTAAACTTAAGTATAGTGAAAAATTTCACAGGAGATGGTGACTTTAGTTTCCTACAGTGTGTGGGCAGACAGCCGAATACATAACGACCGACGCTCACTTCCCACGCGATGAATTCCGAGGTCTGGCATCGGCTGGACTCCCCGACGGCGGCCCGGCCCGAGGCCCAGGGCGGCGGAGGAACCAGCCGCGGTTCCTCTGCGAGCGCAGGGCAGGGGCTTCCACTCGGCCAGTGGGCACTGGAATTATAACTGCATGACGGCTGCCTGGTCGGACACGCAGGCTCCAGCACACGGAAATGGAGGGGCCTGCGGTGAGGATTAGGAGCTGGGTCCGGGTGTGAGATCATCTAGGAGGAGTACACCCATGCCTGCAGGGAGGGAGTCCTGGGCGCAGGGATGCTCCAGAAAACCCACAACTGTTCTACAAAGGAGCCAGCATCTGGCTGGGAGCCGCTGTTAGCAGAAAGACTACAGGAGTGACAGACAGATTGTCCTGTCTGCTTTCCCCAGGACTGGAGATGTCTGCGGGAAGGTGGAAGGAGTAGGCAGTGGAAAATCAGTCAAAGACATTTTTATCCTCCTCCATCTAAAGTTATTGGGCTAAGGTTTGTGTCTGAGTTGGGAGATTAAAAAAAAAAAAACACTTTGAATTTGATTATATTAAAGTTTTGGTGCTGTATTTGACAGTACATTTTAATATCTAAAAATGTGTCTTAATTACCCAGTTAAGAAAATGTAATACCTGAAAATACCTGGCCCAGTGAAGAGATCTGCCTGAACTATTCTGGGGGCAAAAAAGGGAGATTTGAAATAAAGTAGATGGAGAAAAAGAAAGTTTTGGTTTATACGCTCACTGAGTCCATTCTCTAACCGGAATTTGCAATATACTAGCTGCAATACCCTTGTTCTTCATCTTTATATGCCCAGCGCTTGACAAAATGCAGGGCACAAACTTGAAAATCTGCAGATATTTGTTAAATGTTAAGTGAATTCATTTACGTCAAACATTGGTATCAATCCTGGTAATAGAGTTGACACAATATAAAGCAATCTTGAAATGTATGCTTTAAAAAATACATCTTTAAATTAGGCAATTGACTAGCTGATGATAACTGTATTGATTTGAAAAATAGACGTTGATTCTATGCATTGTGAAGATAAAATTTGCTTATTCTGAATTTGGTGGTTAAACCATGAGCTTAGTCATCAGATGACCTTGGTTTGATCTGCAACTTAGCCATTTCCTTTTTATTTATTTTATTTTATTTTTTATTTTCATTTTTATTTTTTTTATCCTCACCCGAGGATATTTTTCCATTTTTGTACAGATAGAATGGGAGGGAGAGAGAGGAAGGGAGAGAGAGAGAAACATCGACGTGAAGGGACACATCGAGTGGCTGCCACCCGCACGACCAACCAGGGCCGGGGACAAACTGCAACCGAAGTACGTGCCCTTAGCGGGAACCGAACCCGGGTCTCTCCGGACCGCAGGCCGACGCTCTAACCGCTAAGCCAAACTGGCCAGGGCTCCTTTTTATTTATTTTTGACCTTGGACAAATAAATGAATCTTTCTGAGAATCAGTTTCCTTGACTCTCAAAATGGGAACAGCTATTATTTATGGCTTAAATGTATCATGGAAGTAAATTTAAAAAAATAAACTGTATTTAGTATATCAATATGAATACATCGAATGCTCAATAAATAATATTCTTAACAGCATAAATAGTAATATTTAAAAACCATCCTTTTCACTGATGATTTAAGTTTACAGTCTTGCTGGCTGTGTTCTGTTCCCCTCCAGATAAATGCATAAACCCCAAGAAATCACACCTAATCCATTCCTCTGGGTATTTTACAACAATAATTGCAGCTATTTGTATACTTTATTTTCAACTTTAAAAAATTACATATTTTTCAACCCAAATCCAAGTTACTTTAATAAAAAAAAATTTTTAAGGAAGACATGGCCTGGCTGGTTATTTCTACAAAGCTTTGCCCCATGAATGAAGTTGGTTAAATATATCAAATGTAATACTATTAAGGAGGTCCTTGTAAATGCAATTTTCAATTTGTTTCACGAACACATACATTTTAACCAGATTAGTAAGATGATAAATGGGTAACGACAACTAAATATTCTACAAACATTAATATTTTATCTTTCTAGTATTAATTTAGAAAATGGAAGGGTTAAAACTAGGGATGCATGTGTTTGTATTCCTATATTCTATTTAAAATATGTACTTTAATATGTATTATATTTATTTAAAAAGTTGACAGCCTAATTACATATCTGTGATCAAATATCTTAATATACTTATAGAATGTTAGTCACCACTAGTTAATTTTAAATTATCTCATTACTTTGTTTTCATAGCTTGTTAAAATCATTAGGTAAAAATGAGTCTCAATGCCAGCAATTTAACCATAGATGAACTGATTGATAATTTTACTCTTTTAGAAGTGTGGTCAAACTTTATTTAATTGGAAAAGCACATATTTGTTGAATGGAAGTTTAAATATCTGAATTAAAATAGGAATAAAAACATATATAAAGATTTGAAAATTGTAATTCCATTCTGTGTTCTAGTGAAAGATGTTAAAGGTTACTACTGAGGAATCTAGAAAAATTAACTTGTTTCTGTAAGAGGAATGCATTGAATGCCAAAAATGCTGAATGGGGCAAAATGGTCTATTGCTACAAAAGTGACTAGAAATTATAAATTCTAAAGAGATGACTAAATAAACTCTTTTAAAAGTCTCTTCACATGCAGAACTGGATTCTCATTCTCTACAACAACATAAAGCAGTTCAGCTTCATTAAGAAGTCTTTAATCCGAAAGTTTAACTCTCTGTAGCCTCAGAAATCTTATTTCTGATCGTTTTACGCTCATAGTGAAAGAGAAAGAAAAAGAAATATTGCTAAGAATTGAATTTCCCCATCTCCTTTTTATGAAGTCTCCAGTAACCCTGCCTCATTCAGTCAACATATGCTTGGTTTTAAATGAAACGGAATTGATCTCTAAGGCACATGCCCCACAGTCTAGGGAGGGCTCTAAACCCTTAAATGTAATCAGCCGCCACTTCCACAGTTGCCTGAAATGCACTACTAACTTCCAAATGAAGACTCAATATCAGGAAGGAGCAATGAGGAGATATGCATAGGAGGCCGATCTTAATACATCTACATTTCATGCACTCTAGTTGAATGTAACTGGAAATGTTAAAAATAGGATAAAGAAAGGAGATACAAAAATATTTATATAATTGTTTTATATTTCAAATAAAGACTTTGGAAGTTGTCCCAAAAATATCTCAGAAGGTAAATGAAGCACATAAATGCTGAACATTTATGATATCCCTTTTCTACTCTTCCCAGAAAGACCAGCAAAGCAGAGCACCAATATAAACAAATATGCGCGCCCAACCTCTCTTTCCATTACCAGCTTGATTGTCTTCCACTGCCAATTCCCTGTCTCTATAATTGCTTTCCAGTTTTTTGTTTTTTTTTTTCGTGTTAAACATCTCTCTGGGAGGATTGTGCTGATGACAACTCAGTCACTCAATTTCCTGGTCCCCAGCAGCATCTGTCCTGTGTCCAGGAGGAATGTGAAAACACATGCCCAGCATATTCAGCACACAGGGATGGCCACGGAAGCCTCCGCTCTAACTTCAATCAAGGGAATCGTCTCTAAACGACTTACTTCCTAAATAACATCATAGTAGCTGAAATCTAGCAACAGGGCAAACAAATATAAACAACCTCTATACCACAGATCTGGCATCTATTATGTGTTGGAAGCAATAGATTATGCTCTTTTGGCTTTTATCTTGAATAGAAGTTGCTTTTAATATTTTTCAAAATCCTTGGTGTTGTATTTATCTCATTATAAAACTCTGATAAAACCCAGTAACTGTAAGATTTTTAATAGAAGAGATTTGTTGCTGTCTGCCTTTTACAACCTATTCTTTTCCCACCTCTCCCCTCCCTCCTTATTTACAATTTAAAACATGTAACCATTCTTTAAAATGTTGTTTTAAGATATTTTCTCTTTTGCAGGTAGTGGAATGCCCAATAATCATTTCAATTGTTTGGGTTTATGAATAAATTTTCTCCCTTATGGGTTAGAGCTATTTGTTTTTTATAGCTCAGTTGGTTTTAATGTTCATCTCCATTTCTTTAAACATATAATACTTCTTTCGAAAGTTCTTTCCATGACATAATTCTTGGGAAAATGTTGGGAGGCCCTTCCCTCCTGTAGAATAGGCATTAGGCATTTGCTTGCTCTATTTTAAGATACTTTGCAGAACTGAGTACATAATTCATTTGCATTCCAATATGAATGGTATTGATGCCTATACATTTTTTATTGCAGCAGTTTCTCCTCAAAAACTTAGAATTATTGATACCATTAATAATCTGGTTATTATTTAAAAGCAAAGGAATAAAGGGGAGACTAGATAATATTGGCATGCCATTTGTACAGCTGCAGTTAACACTCTCCACGTCGGTTTCCTGCTCATCGATGGATGAAGAGACTGGACAAAGCAGTTTAGATGCATGCCCAGTAAAGTGGTGATGTGGAAAGATGCTTACCTCTCAATTGCACCTAGAAACAAGTCAGTGGCCAGAATAGGCATGGCCATTGCAAGGGCACAACATTTGAGACACATAAGCTCCTAAACAAAGAAAGTTCCCCCTCTTACCCCTTGGCCCTCTGGGCTTCTGGCTCTTCTGTTGCAAGGGGCATACCCCCCTGCATTCATGTGGACTCCGCACAGTGGACTGATGGACTGAATCTAGCCTAATGCTACATTAGACTCCGCTTTCCCGTGGAATGGAAACTCTGGACACTGGCCCTGTTTCCAGCTCTACTAAAGCCCCAGTTGCCCCTTTCCAGGACTGGGTTAAGGGAACTGGGACTTTACAACCTGAGGAAAATAAGTCCATGAAAATAAAGTCTCACCACACTTCATCTTCCTGTGGAGGGGTCTCTGGAAATGTGTATTCCAGCATTTCCAAAACCCACTCCCACTACAATTAGAGGAATTCAATTCTCTGATAATAACATTACTCTACTGTTCTTAAGTATTCATCATAAAATGAGCAAATATAAAGCTTGTCTGATTTTTTGAAAATGACTGTATTTATTCTGCTTGGAAATTTGACCCTAGATTTTCCTCTTGAAATTTAAAAATTTAGATAGAAAAGTTATAATGCTGATTCCTGCTTATTGATTTTTTACAGCCAACAGTAAGACTTCATGATTTTTAGGTCTCTTCAATTGTATCCAGGGTTTATATAATCCCCCCTAGTAAACCTTTTCCTGTTCTGATTGCTTCTTTCCCGTTGGAAATGCCTATTATTTTCAAACTGTAGCTTTGTTTTTTTTTCTTTCCTTGCATGCCCATTATAGACTCTTACAATTGTTGTGGCTTCTGTTTAGGGTGGGGGTAGATAAGCTACAGGTCAACTTCCGTATTTGCTATAAAGCTGAAGGCATACAACTTTCTGTGAAACAGTCAAAGGTCTAAGCGAGTTGTGAGTAGAACAGGTATTTGCACAGATAGATCTGGGATTACATAATAAACCAGATGAGGATCAAAGCTCCAACCCTGCCTCTTTCCTAGACATTCTAATCAAAGGCAAACTGACCACAATCTTTTATGGAGGGGAAAGATAGATGGAGGAAGCAACCTGTATTCTGTCTTTCTGACATATTTGCACCTAGAGAGAACCACAGAGTTGTGGGCAGCAGCATAAGAAAAATCATAGTCCAAGGGGAGCAGCAAGCAAGAAAAAGTTCTCTGTGGATTGTTGAATGCAGAGAGTTACAGCACAGATGAATATAAAGATATAGATGTGTCCGTGATGAGCAGGCAGGAAACAATTTTGTTTTTATACCTCTGCTAATTTTGTTATGAACAGAATAAAAATACAAGGTTAGAAGGTTGTGAAAACCAGCAAAAATCAGCATCAAATTCCTTCATCCTTCATAGAACTGGCTTTACACCGCTTGTCTCTACGAAGTTAATGATGTTAATCTTTTAATTGGATGTTGTTGGCATTCCAACAGCTCACTTGCCTGTCTCCCTGCTGTTCTCTAAAAATGCTTTTGGCAAAGAAAATGTGACAGACAGTCTTCCTTCCTCACAGTGCCAACACCCCACTTTTAATGTTTAAAATGGCCCTCTTCAGTGAATAAAATCCACGACTCTTTACACACCGGTGAAGTGCAAATAGAGCTGTTGAAAAATGATGTTGATCCCTGCTTGGAACATATTCAGGTAGTAGTTAAATAGATGCAAAGAGAGGGAGAAAACTTTTGTTAAATAAAGGAAAATGAGTGTTACAGAATGCAAACACTGAAACACATTTAGGCCTTCAAGTCCTATAAGCTTTCAACATTTTGCTTCAAAAGTTACAATGTAAAAACCATGGTCCAAATCATAGTCCATAATTCCAAGTGTACTGACCTGGAATCCCCAAGTGATAGCCAGTAGTGAAGGTGGCTTTAAATCCCCTTTTTGTGAGTACATCGTTAGTGATGAAAAGCACAGTCATTCTGTTGGTGGTTGAGAACACATCCTCTACTGGACCAGGCCCTGTGTACACAGCTGCTCCAAAGGAAACAAGAGAATCTGTGAGATGGTCCTTTGGATCTAGAAGGAACTATACCCCTTTCTCAGTCCCATGCGATGTGTACATTCTTTTACATTTTGGAGACTGCTTCTTGAAAGTGAACTTCCTTACTGATCTTTTCCAATATTCCTTGAGGTTTCTGTGGCTCTATAATTTGATGATGAATTACTGATATCGTTATCTGGTTGATTAGCACCACTACTGTTCAAGCTCATGTTATCCCAGAAAAATGATTTTTTGGATGCTTCTAAAGACCATTATGAAACAACAAAGACTATAATCTCCCTTAATTTTTTGTTTCAAATTTATTTGACTTTTTTTTTTTTAGTTGAACCATTAACCTAATCTGAAGGATGGATTACTTAGAAACAGGTTATAAATGGTGATTTTCAAATTTTTTTTGCACTAACCACTGTGATTTGGTTTCCATAAACAATAAAATACTCTTTACTAAACAATAAAGTCTTGAGCAAATTAAAAATACACTCATATTATTAAATGATTTATATTTTAAAATCCCTGAAAACAATTCTGTTTCAAAAGAACCTTTTGCCTAAAAATTTGAAAACTGTGATAGTGAGATCCTTTTGGAGTTCTTATTACTTTTCAATTAATTATGTAAATATAAGAGGTGAAATAGCAAAAAAAGATATTTTTTAGACCATGAGAACACTCAAGTTTTTATTAGAAGGATAATATAACCAAAAAATGGGAAAACTACTCAAACTGTTTTTATAATTGTCTATAAGGAAATCAACTTAGAAGTTCCTCAGTTCTTTCTAGCACTAACCTCCTGGCTCCACTGATTCTTTTATTGGTTATTTGTCCTATGTGTGGCTCTCAAAATCCTCTCACAGGAAGCTCCTGTTCTATAATTTTGTGGGACTTTGTGGAAGAAATCCACATAACAAGCATTGGATTAGTATAACAGGGGAACCCTCTCCACCACTCCGACCCTACATGACAATAGAAAGTATCTATTCTTTGCAGTCTTCACTCATTGGTTGCAGTGTTCATGTGATTGAACTCTGATTGCACTGGGCCAGATTAATTTTATTAATTAATTAATTTATTTTTGAGTGTGATATGCCATTAGGGCCAGATTTTATAGGAGATGGTTACTATGAGTCCAAAGCACAGTTAGATAAAATGTCTTTACTCACCAAGTGTGTTCATGTATTCAGTTGACCCTTTACACATGTTCACACTTTAATCTATGACTTATCAGAGATAAGTCTCACTAAAAATTGATAGTTGTTAAATAAGATATAAATGATTATATTTGACAGATAGATTTTTATTACATTAACATGTATTTTATAATCTACATACGATAATTTCCTTTAGAAGAGTACATTTTCCCCATGTTTATTTAAAAATTGATGATCAGCAGATTTTGGGGAAAATAAACTTTGGTCAATTTTGAATCATTTTCAGATACTAGAAGGAGCTAGTACTGGAGACATAGATAATCAAAATAATAAAATGTAAAATAAAAATTATTTTAAAATTATGCATAACAAATACAATTTGTTTTGTTAGTTTAATATGAAATAAAATTTAATTCAATATCTATCTTTGGACACTTGATGTGCACCTAATGTGTAGAAAACTGAATAACAGGTGTCCTTATCTCTTACTCTACAAGGTATAATGCCTATTGTAGGAAATTAAAACCAGCTAGTAGGAACAGCTGACTTTAACACATTAATCCTGGTTTGCTAAGAATGCTCATGAATAACATTATTCTATTTTCATTGCAAACACCCCCAAATTAAAAGTTTCCTATAAAACACAACATGCTACTCTACTGTTTCTTAGTTGTAAAAGAGTGATTACATTTATTGAGAATAAATCCATCAGTCCAATGTCTTCAGCCATACAACCTTCACAATATCTATTTATTTATTTTTTATTGTTGAAAGTATTACAAATGTCCCCTTTTTTCCCCACTGACCCCTTCCTTTCTGCTCCCAACCCCCTCCTGCCTTCCCCGGCCTAGTGTCCATGTCAATTGGTTTATATGCATATAAATTCTGTGGTCTGTCTCTTCCCTCCCCTCCTACGCCTATCCCTCTGAGGTTTGTCAGTCTGTTCCCTACCTCCATGATTCTGGATATCTTTTGGTAGACAGCTTATTTTTTTCATTATGTTCCACAAATAAGTGAGTCACGTGGTACTTCTCTTTCTCTGACTGGCTTATAGAGGGACCTGGAGAGTGTTATGCTAAGTGAAATAAACCTTCACAATATTTAAACTGCAGACTTACCTAACAGCAAGGAAGCATTTCCTCCACCATCTCTGATTTCAACTACATCTGCAATATTTTCTAAGTCAAATTCTTGAAAATGAAGTTGTATGTTCTTTCCCTTTTGGGCATGTAAATTCCAAATACCTTAAAAGTAATAAATAACAACACAATTTAGAACATGCTTCTTTTTAGTTCTTTTAAAAACGTCACTCTCTTTAGAATTCCAAATCACTTTCAAAGATGTTTTCAATTTTATGAAAACCAATACTCCATTTTTTAAAAATATGTGTGTGAGGAAATATATTGTTCCAGTCGTAAATATTTACAGCAAAGTTTCAATAAAATTTGAAATAATTTACTGTAATTGAATTTGCTTTATTTTACATAAAATGGAATACTTTAATCAAAGCTTACAAAGAATATTTTGCTCCTACAATCTAAATTTTATAAAAAATATTAATATTCTAGTTACATTTATCTTATTTTCCATGATTCAATTTAGAGGAAAATGAGACAAGAAAATATTGCTATTTCTTTAAGTAATTTGGCCATTATTTAAACATGTTTATTGGTAGTTCATTTTGAAAACAAAACAAAATTAGTAGCATTAGTATCAATAAACACTTCTTGTTCTTTATTGCTTCCGTAAACAATTTATTCTTTAGATTCAGTTCTAAGCCCTTTCATCATTCTGTTTGTGTTCTCACTCACTCTCAAGGAAGATCATTTCATCAACATAGTAATGAATTCCAAGTCTTTATTTTCTGCACTTGTCTTGTTAAGTAGATAAATTTAACCAATTATTTATTGCGTATGAATGTATGTATCTCAAACTCAACATGTAATAAACAGAATACAGAATTATATCCTTCCTAAGCGCATTTCTCTTCTTATTCTTTCTAGCTGAGTAAATGGCACCACTAGTCAACCATTCACATTTGTCTACACCAGAAACATCTGCCTCTTCCTTGACCTCCCCTCTCCCACCACAGCCGATCAATCACCCAGGCCAGCCAATACTACCTCCTATATCCCTTGACCTCACTTCTGAGTCTCCACTGCTAGTCTAAGAGATTAAGTCTCTGTTATTTTTCATTCCTAATTGGTGATGCTGATGGCTCTCTTCCCTTGACATCTATCTCTGATCCTACAAGCTAGATGGATTCATCTGAAATGCAAGCTTGATTTTTCACTATTCTCATGTAAACTGCTTGAAGTCCCCCATGTTCTCAGAATAAAATCAGAACTACTTAACATGGTACAAGATTCCTTCATGCCTCAATTTCATTTTTAACCACTCTTTCATTTCGCTTGGAGATTCAAGAAAAAAAAAACCACACCTCCTAACCTCTGCCCTCCCTGTGTGTTACATACCTTTGATGTCCCTCCACAGTGTGCTGCCTTTGTCCTTATTATAACAGCACCGTGGACATTTGTAATGCCTGAGGACTTGTCTGAAACGTCATCTAGACTGAATTATGTTTGTTTCTTCTCTACTTACTGTAATACCTAACAAGTAAAGTGTTCAGTATACGCTTGTTGAATAAATCAATACATTTAATATATTTCTCGAAATTGTTCTTTCAGTGTTATACTGTTTTTTAGTTTTTAGAGCATTACTTTGTACAAGTGATATGTTTAAAAGATGCCTTCAGTGTGAAGTAGAGATGATATCTCTGGTTCCCCAAACAAGTCAAATGAGATTAATGGTTATTATTATTTTTTTAATCAGATATCTCCCTATAATAGTGACTCTATTATTCTGTGAAAGTCATACTTATCTCTGGTGCATTTGAAGCAAGAAAAATTGACATTTTCTAGCAACACATTTTTCACTGCCACTGGGGCATTTCTTTCACGGGTAGAAGTTTCCATTTATATCCGAGGTGCTAACCGGGTATGGCCATGGGAAGAACATGTCTGTTTCCCCTGTAGTCTTTGCAGGAAGGGCTGGGACACCGAAGTGGAGTCTTTGCAGAAAGGGCTGGGAATCTGCATCTTTAACACAATCTCTACCCAGCTCCAATGAACTTCTCTATTTAAGAATAATGATCTAGAAATAGGCTATGTACAGTTTTAGCTAACCCACCTTCTCATTAGACTTAGATTTGTTGTTTTTTTTTAGTGATTCTTTTTATTAGTTCTTCTTTTAAAAAACTGGGAATCTAATCACATTACTCCAGCTGCTTTATTGACTCTAGACTATGTCTACAAGTGAGGATGTCACAATTGGCTCTTTGCTGTTTGCCCTCTTCACTGGCTCTATTCTATGGAACTGCAAACCTGTTATACACACCAGAGACGTTATATATGTCATCAAAGAGAGCGATTAAGAGAGCAGTATCTCGAGTAAGGCTGACTCACTTACTGGTTTTATCCAAATTTTAAATTTGAGAATTATAATAATAGCACCTGCTTCAAAGAATTATTGTGAGAATCGACTGAAATAATGTATATTAAGCACTAACACAGTGCCTGACCTGAAATAATTGCTTTAGATAGCAATTTATTATTGTTATTCTTATTGGGATCATTACATTAAGCAATCTCATAAATGTGGTAGATGCATCCAGATATACAAATTTGTAATCTACTCTGCTGGGTCAAACTTTGATATATACAATTGTTTCTCATGGTCTGGAAAAGAAATGACTCACAGAAAGCCAGATTAGGGTAGTTGTTTGGGAAGTTCATAGAAGTAAATGTTGTGTTCGGCTCCCACAGTTCAAAAGGTCCTCCACAGTCCGCTGAAGAGGAAAAAATCATTAGCAATGTGATATTTATTTCAGAGAGATAACACTGTTTGCTAGAAGATTTCCAATTACATTTCTTGGTTTTGATAGATAAATTTTAGAGTTTGTGGATGGGAAAATCTTACAACTTAAGTAAAGGAAGAATGCAGGTAAATAGTTCTCTTTACTGAAGACTGTCTCAAAACCTTAAATATTCCACTGTTCTTTGTAAAATTCCAAGAGGACATAATAGTGTGCAACGTTTTCCAAAATTACTTGGGTAAGGAACCATTTTTGCGGAACATATTTCATAAATAGGCTGCATGAGTAAAGTATTAACCCTCTGTAGTAAAAAAGAAAACAATTGTAATAGGACAAATCTTACATCTGCCAGTCTCTTATGAGAAGGGCTAGTAAATCACTAATTTTGCCATTTCTTGCCCCCCCCCCCCTTGTTTTTTATCAGTAGAGGGGAACTTCACCATCTTGTTCACTGAATTATTTGACTGTTAGGAAGGGGAGATAAACTGAAACTCCACTTGCTTAAGAATTGCCATAGAGTGATCTGTTACCCAACATTGTCCAGGAGACAAGTTGGCACAGAGCTGTATGCAAATTTATTAGCAAAATAGAGCACAGATTTCCAGTTAAAAGTGTGGTACTTTAAGAAGGTAGATTAAATTTATGAAATTCTTAGCATACTTTATGTTATTCTCTTCTTGCTTATTAGAGGACAATTCTAAAGTAATGGAAAAATTCATAAACTACTTTTAGTATCCCAATTCTTATTTTTATTATGTTACATTTAAGATCAAAAGAATAAAAGTAACCCAATTTGAGGACTATAGAAAACTGGGATAAGTATATATTTATCCTATTATTAAAGCAAGCTTTCCACTGGAATTATAGACTCCTAATAAGGTAGAAATCAGATTATAGGAGGGATACTTAAATATCTCTACACCTATGAAAATGCCTCAGTCACACTCTCTTCTTTCATCCTTCTTTTACATAGCATCTGCCTTATTTAGGTAGATCTCTTGAAATTCATGTGCACCTTCCAAATATGTATGCAATAAACCTCTTAGATTTGGGTTCATGATGTATCTAATGGGACCGAGAGGCAGTTGCTGTGGCTTGAGAGTAGCATCATTGCCAACCTATCCAGTTCTGCAGGCTGGCACGGCCTGGTCTACCTGACATGCTCTCCTAGGCCAGGCTGGTCTGAACCCAGATGAGCTTAGCAAGAATAATAAAACCTCTTGCATAAAACTTATCTTTTGCAAAGTGTTTCCATGAACATTGTCTTATTGGGGAAAGAATATGGTATATATAAAAGGAAGATGTGTTAGAGCTGGTGGATTAAAATTGTCACTCTGGGTTAGTTACTTGTCTGTTTGAGATGTGGTTTTCTCCTGTATAAAACATATATATTAGAGATTTTCAGGGTTGTTGTAAAAATCAGACATAATTTATGACAATTGCCTACACATCACCTAGCATATCCACTATTGGTTTTCAATGCATTTGTGTGGTAACTACAATTATTATTTCTATTTTAAATGGACAAGTTGAGCATTGGAGGTATTCAGTTCCTTGCTAATGCTGTACACATTTACTTAGTGTCAAAATCAAAACTTCAACTCAGTTAATCACAAGCTCATCCCACAGCACGTTACTATCTCCTAGTGGGTTGATTAAACTCTGAATCATTTTGACCATCTGGTCTGAGCCACAGGCAGGGTTTAGACTGAGTCTCAATAAGTGGCACTTGATGGGTATATGGCATATTCTTGATGGGTACAGACAGAGAGAAAAAGGGGAGAAGGGAACATAAATGAAAGCACTAACAAGTAAGGTCAATCATGGATAGACAGAGAGGAAGGAAAGCACGAGCTATAGGAAGAGTGATGATGGGAATAAGGGCAGGTCTCCCCTGGAAAGGGTGAGAGAGAGGCTAAGGGAATCCTGTGCTCCCACAGCAGCTGTTCCTCTCCTGGACTTTGTGACTAATTGTCTTGCAAAGGTTTCTGTAGAAGAGTCTACTACAACCTCTTAACTGCAATTCATTTAATACTAATTCCAAGTGACATGAATGCTTCCTTCCATCTTCAGTGAAACTCATGGAGAAGAGAGTGTAGCAGCTGGGACAGAATAACCCTGCACACTGAGGACTGAGGTAGACCAGCTGTTCCCCGTTCTCAAGTTCAACCATGGCCAGGTGGCCAGTGGGGCTTTTGTTTTATTTGTTGTTGATTTTTAATAATCACTCTCATTCTCTCTTCAAGAAATAGAAAAATTTCAAAATCAGCTACTCTTACTAACTAGCTGATATTTTAGAGAACGTATTAAATTTTTACATAACTAAATCCTTGACAGTACACTATATGTTGTTGAATAGGTAGGACTTAAATAAACACACAATCAGAACCCAACGTTGTCTTGTGTAACTGCTAAGCCTGTCAAGGCAGGCAGTTTACATAGCATTTCTCCACTAACCAGAAGTCTTGGAAAATTCATTCTTTTAAAATACTGAAGAAGTACTTTTTGAAATGTATTTCAAATATAATTCTATATTAAATAATGAATCAGTGAGATCTATCTCTGGGCCTTCATTTGACAAAAAAATATCAATTACTCTGTATAAAAATGACTGTAAGGAATTGACAAAAGCACTTTTAGCCATAGTACATCCGATGACATGATTTATTTTGATGGTGGTGTTGCTATAGTGGAAATGTAGCATGTGCTTCTTAATAGAGGAGCAAAGACTTATGAAATGTAAGTCTGGATGTCACAGTCATGCTGTGTTATGAGATAAACCATCTCCACCCAGAGAAAGAGAATTAAATAACCTGTTTGGTACAGAGAACTCTATTCATTTACAGTTCTTAAACACTTTCATTTTTCTTTTTCTTGGAGCTGTTGTCTCAAAGATTTGTCTTCTGATTAATTTCTTACTATGCCAATAGGGACTCTGATGCCTCTGAGATGTGTCGATGTGGAGACATTTACTATGAGGTGACAAGAAGGAGAACCCAGCTTTCATTTAATTTAATTAGGGTTCAAATTAAAGACGTTTGGTAAAACAAACATCGTTATCATAGTAATACATAGTTGTATAGTATTACAGAAAACATTTTAGCCGTTTAGGTTGTAATGTAAAATCTCTTATCCAAATCTGTGCTTAGTTTATGAAAATTTATGTTTCTATTAACAGGTTATAGTGCCCAGCCTTGATGGTAATATTTTTATTAAATTTATGACAATGAATTTCAACTGTTCTTTCCTTGTGGTTTACATTGCATTGGTAATAGCAATATAGTCAGTGATAGCTCTAATAGGTAGAGTGTTTCTTTTAAAGATAAGAAAATAATATAGCCAAACTCACATTTATACAGAAGTATATGAGTAAACTTAATATGTAATTTGCTAGCAGCTTGAATATAAAATCACACAAAAGCAAACATTTCTGCTGGAATATGGGCATCAATTACAAGACAGATAGGTACTGATTCATTTCTATATGAAGAACTAAAGTTAGATTATTTAACTCTATGTATAAGGTCATGCCTATAAAACTTTATAAATTTTATTTTTTTCTTTGGAAATAGAAAATGGCCTAATAATGGCCAAATAGAGCAAAGCTGTAGAAATATAAGGTAACTATTACAATAGCTAAAACTATAGTTTTCTGAATTACTTTTAACAGCTACAGAAACAAGTCAGGGGAGTAAAATGTGGATTTCTTTCTGTATATACATATTCTATTTAGTAGGTGTCTTGTCACAAACCACCATATTTGTGCTCAAATTGGCATGATATTTGTGTAATAAAATGTTTACTTTTTAAAGTGTTCTCAGTACGGTCTCTGCATTTAAATGATTTGTGCCAGTGTCACGGGGCAACACTCATAGAGTGGTGGAAGTCACAGAATGGAAGAATTCCCGCAGTTATGAAAACTGAACTTACATGTCCCCAAATTAGGCCCAACGCGGATCCCTGGAAACAAGGGACGAACCTGATCTTTTCTAGTTAGTTACTTGTCTGGGATTACTTTCTTTCTTATTTAAATGCACAACAAGGGCTAAAGAAAGGCTATTAACCAGTCAGCCAGGGTTTCCTTTTATTTCTGCTTAAACAAACCAGTGATCTGGAACCAGGAAAGCTCTGCTCAAATAAGAATTTCACTGAACCAACTGCAAATGGCATTAGAATGAAATTGTTCAGAATGCATTTGGTGGTAATTAACATTTTCTGCTGTGCTAAATATTGCCCTGAAGTGAGCCATTTGGAAACTGGAACAAGCATACTCCGTGAAAATTCTGAGTTTATATATTAAAATAACATAGGTTATTCTTCCTTTATAATTTCCATATTGTTAAAATATGTAGCGATGTCATACTTCCTTGACATTAAGGTACTACCTTTTTTTGTAACTGGAATACATATGAACACTGTATGGATTTTATAGATAAAATTTTAAAATGGAAATAATAAAATTTTATTTATGTGTATAATATTATGTACAAAAATGATCTTGAATTTTCTATTTTAAGTAATGAGATTTGTTCCTTTTAAAATATCAAAATTATGACTATGTTACTTCCACTTAAACTTTTTTCTTCTTGACCACTACTGATGAACAGAAGAACCTGGTGCATAAAAGGTTAACTACAAAGAAAATCTATTGTTTGAAATGATTCCAACATCAAAATAGCAAGATATTGTTAATACTTGGTATCCATAGGAATTGTTTATCAAACCAAGAGTAATTTTAATAATTACATTCTTTTGTTTTTGCATGAAAATATTTTAGATAATAGACAGGGAAGGTGTAGAGCATCTACACAAAATAGTGAGGCAGTAATTTTCAAACATTGTCATAAAGCCCAAATCATTGTGCTCATGTTGATATTTTCTCCACTCCCATCCCCATCATCATTTCCAAGCTCTAGTTTCTATATCAAACTTCTATTTGGCAAAACGTTTGTGTCACTAAGAGAAAAATGCAAACAAAATAAAGAGGGAGAGAGATGCTTAGTTCACATCTAGTAAAATCTAATAATATTTATTCATACCCCATTTGTGTACTATTAAGAACCAGTCCGTCACTCATGAAGCAAAGGTGAATTAGAACCAGAGACTGGTGTCAAGAAATTCACTTGCTACCAGAAGTTTGTGGCCAATGTCATAAAATGAGAATGCTTTTGTTTCAGTTTCATGAGTGTCATTCTGTGTCTTGATTGTAACACTTCTTTTTTTTTTTTTTTTTTATCCTCACCCGAGGACATTTTTCCATTTTTTGTTCAGGTAGAGTGGGAGGGAGAGAGAGGAACAGAGAGAGAGAGAGAAACATCGATGTGAAAGGAACACATCGAGTGGCTGCCACCCGCACAACCGACAAGGGCCGGGGACAAACTGCAACCGAGGTACGCGCCCTTAGCGGGAACCGAACCCGGGTCTCTCAGGACCGCAGGCCGACGCTCTAACCGCTGAGCCAAACCGGCCAGGGCTGTAACACTTCTTTAAGGCCTTCTCCAGTCACACTCTCTTTTCCAAAGTCCTCTATTGTTTATTTTCCTCATTTATTACTTCTGGGGGCACCTGATTATATATTGTTTTTAGTATTTATTTATATGAATTATATTTATTTTTCCATGTATCAATGGCTATTGCTACATCCTACATTTCTTATGTGGTACTTTTTACATAGTAAATATTTATAAAATGTGAATGAGTGTTTGAAATACTAAGGAATTCATGTACAACCCCTACAAGCATCTAAACATGTCAATACAGAAGACAGAAATTATAAGTTAGCCTTTTGGCGGGATCAGCGCACTTTCGGTATGGTCTTGTGAGACCAGTAGGACAATATAAATACTATCCTCATCTAAACAGCAGCTCATCTGTTATGTGTTCTCAAACATCAGTCAGGCACCTTTAGAACTGTTCAGTTGTTAACACCATCCATCTAGAAAGACTAATTTTTTTAGCTTAAAGATTGGAAAGCAAGAAAATATATAGTTTGGGGAGTAAAGCCAAATTTGTCTAGTTCCACCAAATCGATTTTCTCGTGTGAATATGGAAGGGGATGCTCGGAAGGGCATGGGAACTGGAGAAAGTGCTGGTGGTGAGCTCAGCTCCATCTCAGAACAAAAACATCCGTGAGCTTTGACACCAGCAAAGCTGTGGAGTCAGAGCAGCTTCCAAACACCATACTCCAAACACAACGGGACACTGTTGCATTAAAACAACAATGTAGCCCAGCCAGTGTGGCTCAGGGGTTGAGCGCTGACCCATGCACCAAGGGGTCGCCGGTTCGATTCCTGGTCAGGGCACATGCCCAGGTTGTGGGGCTGATCTCCAGTGGGGGGCATGCAGGAGGTGGCCAATCAATGTTCTCTCTCATCGATGTTTCTGTCTCTCTCTCCCTCTTCCTCTCCCTTCCTCTCTATGAAATCAATAAAAAAATAATAATAAAAAAACTACAATGTAGTAAAAACATCCCAATTAAGGGACAATGATGTTTGATTTCATTTATCATTATGTGCTTTGTGTGTTGTTTATTTGTCAAACCTTACAGTCTAAAAGTGATATGAAGTCATTGTCTCCTTGACATAGATCAGATGGATGGTGATGTCCCTTTGCCTCTGAAATGTTGTGTTTCAATTGGACTTAAGAGCAAAGATGGACACAGGCTCCCTGTTATTCTTTTGAGTTGAAAGATTCCATAGGACACCAGAAAGCCTGGTCATCGCTCACTGGCAACACATTAGCGGGTCTGTGAAGGGAGCACATTGCAAGGATCCAGTCACCATTTCAGAACAAAATCTTTTGTGCAAGCTAGGTCTGTGGAGTCAAAGTCCAGGCCCACTCATTAATATTCAATTATTCTGAAAATAGACTTGGTGAGTTTCAGGCTTAACAAAACTTCTTTTGAGATCTTAACATCACTGCTTAAGAAGGTTATAAACATCTTAAAGCTTCTTCCCAAAAGACTGTTGGCCATACCACATGCCACATGGACAACAAAGTGTTAACTTGCATTCTAGTAAAAAACAACGGAAATTAGCACCTTCATTATTTTCAAAAATGAAAAGGTGCTAAAATTATCATAAATGTGATGCATAACAATGTACTGAATGATTTTAATTATAGGTTTATGTATAACATGTAATCTTTTACTGGCTTCCATTTTACTTGTATTTTAGAATCTTTAATTTCCAGTGAAGAAGTACTAGACTGAGATAAAGAAAGATCTACCTGAAAATATTAATGATTTAATTAGGGAAAATACATGTTAAAGATACTTACTAGGCAGTTCTGGAGGAGGAGTTGGGACCAAAGTTGGTTCTGGATAAAGACTCGTATTGCAAATCCCATATGTTAGGCTAATGTCATCCAAAGCTATATCACTCAGGAACTTGTTTTTAAAAGCATTGAAAGAAACCTGTAATTCAGAGAGGCACATGAAATGATTCCACTCTAATATTCCCTGACATGATTCTTCTGATGGTCCAGTATTCTCTGGAGAATCAATGCTGCTGTCTCCAAATATCCAAGGACAGGTTACCGCACAGGGAAGAATTGATGGATCATGCTTCTCAAGGTCCTTCTGTGAAACCAGCTCCCTTATTCTCGTTCATACTAGTCTGAATTTTCACCAGTGTCTTCCTTCTGAGATAGGCAATACTGCCACAGTTTCTCTCTGCCCGTCTCTCTCGCATGATGCCGCCACGTTGCATTGTACTCTGACTTGCGTAATGCCACATCTAGCAAAGCAGAGCAAACCTCTCCCAGATTCTTCCCCCGCCAATATTAGAAATTGAAGTAACTGTCTTCTCAGAGCATATAAACCATGGAGAGAAAGTACACTGATTTGACCATCTAAATTGGAGAAGAGGGGGCAGGGGAAAATATAAGTACAATCTGACCATGTAAGGTCAACTGGAACTGGTTGTAGTTTACCCAGAAATCGGGGTGAGATACTCTGTGAGGGTGATGCCCAGAGGACACAGTCCCAGACTTGGGAGAAAGATCCAGTGGTCATATGAAATATATCAGGTTCTTAGGGACAGCGGGTATATTTAGCTGGGATTTCTTGAGTCTTGTGTAGGAGAGAAAAGGCAGAAACTGAGTATCTGTTATATATTAATTACTATGCTAGGCACATGTTATACTTTATCTCATTTAATTTTTCCAATATTATTATATAGTCATCTATTCACTCATTCGTTATTCATTCCACCTACTTCACGGCAGGCACTATCCCAAATAAAGATTATTTTTTTTCCCTTTCATGTATGGGCAAGCTGAATTTCAAAGAAACTTACGTGATTTGTTCAGGATTTCACAACGAAGGGGCAAAACCAGGGTGAAAATATTTATGGAATTTGATGCTGCCACCCTGCCTGATGAGCTAACTTTGAAAAAGTTGCTCCAGTTTTATTACTTAAAAAAAACAAACAAACAAACATGTTCAGCGACATGAGCCAGACTTAGCCACTGTGGTACTTACATCCCTGCTTCTGCGATCTCTGTGTCCCCTGAGGTTCCATTTCCTTTCCCTTCCTTGAATTGTCAGAAAACAACCAAAGGTGGAGAGAAAAAAAATCACAGAATTGAAGGACAGGATCCAAAGGAAGAAAAAAGGAAAGAAAGGAAGAAAGGTGGGAGAGAGACAGATCCGAGAGTGGCCGATTAGTGCCCACCTCATACAAAGTCACAGGAAAAACCTGAAGCCCTGTGATGACAATGTGAATCCAAAAATACATCTTCTAAAAGTTCCACTCTCTTGTCTGAAGTTACCCAATTAAAACATTGTTAATTTGGTCACACTATCAGCCTATATTACCCCATATTTTAATTGCAAACACCCTCAGGAAGAGAACACATTAAGCTGTCGTCTGAAAAATTAACTCACTCTAATGTGAAATAAGTGACTGGAGATTTCCCAGTGACAAAGCTCCTAGGGACTGTTTTTCAAGGAAAGGGAGATTCAGGCAGTGAGCAGGTGGATGGATGCTGGTATGTGAGGATGTGCTGAAGGGGAAGGAAATGCCCCAGAAAAGTGCAGGGCTGTTGGAGGTGATGTTTGTAAAACGCTGGAAGTCCCGATGAGGCAGGGACAGGAGGATGCAGTCAGCTTGTGTTAAAAATTGCTGAATAAAAGCTGACAGGTGTCCATGGATTCTATGGCTCTTGATAAGTAGCACTGTCCTGAGGTAAATTGTTCCTCAATGAGTGGTTTTTAATAAGTCGATGAGTAAATAAAAATAAAAGCACTCAAAGATTAAAAAAAAAAAAAAAAAGCAGAGCCTGGCCAGTGTGGCTCAGTGGCTGAGCATCGACCCATGCACCAAGAGGTCCTGGTTCGATTCCTGGTCGGCGCACATGCCCAGGTTGTAGACCCGATCCCCAGTGGGTGGGTGCAGGAGGCGGCCAGTCAGTGTTCTCTCTCATCGATGTTTCTCTCTCTCTGTCCCTCTCCCTTCCTCTCTCTCTAAAATCAATAAAAAATTTTTAAAAAAAGAAGGCAGATGATGAAAGTAGAGAAAGTGACTAGGCTGTATTTAGAAAACAAATGAATTTTTTCATCACATCACCATATAAACTATAATTGTATCACCATTATTAGAATACAAATAAATGATTCTAAAACACAAAGTAGTTTAGTAACCTTAAATTCCACTGTTTCATTTATCGTTACTTGTCCATAATTCCAATTTTTTCCATAATTTCCTTCCTTTTGGAAAATTATCTTCTCCATGTTTTGTTCACTGCTGATATTAATGTTTAATTTATAGACATTTTCACCATACATGTAATACCTAGTGTGGAAAAAAGCAAAAATGATTAGATTCCTACAACATTAGAATAAAGGCATTTATGGGTCCTTCTAAATTCTTTTTTTTTCAATTTTTATTAATTTATTTTTGTTATAGATGGTCTCCTTTTTCCCTCCTGACACCCTCCTCCTCATCCCGCCCCCCGCAACCCCCCAGCATTGTTGTCTATGTCCATTGGTCACGCATACGTGCATGTAAGTTCTTTGGTTTATCTCATCTATCCCTGCCCCCCTCCCCCCCTCTGCTCCCCTCCCCTGAGGTCTGTCGGTCTGAACCATACTCCTTTCTATGTCTCTGGGTTTATTTTGTTCATTATATTCTACAAATGAGATCATGTGGTGTTTATCCTTCTCTGATTGGCTTATTTTTGCCCCCTTTCCTTTGGATGAAGGAGTTGCTGGAGAAGGACAGAAGTCCCCCAACATTTTACTTGTTAACAAATGGAAAATAATGGCAAATTCATTACCACTCTGGAAGACATCTCAGGGAAATCTGAGCCTGGCAACACGAGAAAAGCAGTTACTCGTTAGATAATATGGTACGTAACACGGGCCTGCAGCATACCAGAAACCAAGGCAGACTGGTTCCAAAGGGGGGTTCAAAGGAAGGCTTAAAAGTTGTACTCTTTCTTGTCTCCCGCCTGGTCCAGTTGGGGTGGAAATGTAAAATCCTGAAAAAATGAAAAAAAAAAAAGTTTTTACTTCACTTAAATATTAGCATTTTCTTTGTGTGGGGTATTCATGGCAGAAAAGAACAACTTTAAGGTGAAAATATAAGAAAATATATTTAGGTAGAGTGAAAAGGACACCAAACTGAAAGCCAGAAAGCACAGTCTCTGGCATAACAAATTCTTATTTAGGAAAATCACCTCTCGACTCTGGACCTTCCAATTTATAAAACAAGAGCCTTGAATGGGAGCACTGCTAGGAATATATCAAACTCTTGCTATTCATTGATTCAATATGATTGTTTCACTGTATTATCACATCCACATGCCTCTTTAATTCCCATTTATTAAAGATTTTAATTATTTCACTCTTTAGAGACAGTCAGTCATGAGGGTATTTAGATACACTGGTGGAATAACTCCTGATGTATGCAAGTATTTAAATACACATTTGAAGACAAAGTTAGAGTTTCAAAGATTGTCAGGTTTTTATTCCATTGACTATATTACATTTCTCTAAATAAGAAGTTACCTAATTTTATAATGACTTCATCTTCCATATTCCTTTGAATGATAACTAATCAGATCACAGAGAAGCAGATAGCATGCAAATCCACATGAAAGGTTTCTTTCTAAATAGCTCAAGCTACTGAGTAAAGTGTTCTCTGATCTGAAATTCATTATTCCAACTAATAATTTGAATCATGTGAAGTGTGAGAAGAGTTATTGGGTTGAGAACACTTTCAACATTCTTTTAGGAAAATTTAAAATATATTTTATTCTTACTTTGTAGCTCCTACATTATGACAGAAATTTGGAATCATGTAACAAAATATAAAACAAAATATTAGAAAAATCTACTTTTATTGAAATGCAATTCTTCATGAAATGTTAAAATTTAATGTTTATTTGAAATCAAGCATCTTCTCTCGTGCACTCTGACATAATTTTTATAGACAATTTTGCATATAAAATTGGTATTTGTTTATAACACACATAATAAAGACAGGCATGAAGAAAGATGCTAGTAAACTGCCAAATATACATATTAGAGCATATTTATTTATTTATTTTATTTTTTTATCCTCACCTGAGGACATTTTTCCATTTTTGTTCAGATAGAGTGGGAGAGAGAGAGAGGGAGAGAGAGAGAGAGAGCCAGAGAGAAACATCCACGTGAAAGGGACACATCGAGTGGCTGCCACCCGCACGACCAACCAGGGCTGGGGACAAACTGCAATCTGCAACCTAGGTACACGCCCTTAGCGGGAACCAAACCCGGGACTCTCTGGACCACAGGCTGACGTTCTAACCGCTGAGCCAAACTGGCCAGGGCTATCAGAGCATACTTAGATCAGTGAGACAAATAAATGTTTTATCAAGGTGTAATTCTGGTCAAATATCTTAACAAATGCAATATATTCACATTCTTTGGATTTAGATTACAAAATATAAAGTAGAAAAGAAGGCATGTTTAACATTTTATGTTATGAGCACATCACTTATATTTTATATAATGCTGTAATATTTCATGAGTACTTATTTTTAGCTATATTTAGTGCTTAATTATTCAACTTATTAACAAAAGTATTATAGATACAGAGGATATATTCAAGAATTCACTCTCTAAATGCCCAAATGCCTTTTGAGCTAACCTTACTTTTAGTTGCTTACAATGTAGTTGAGGAGGAAATAATTAAAATACCACTGAACGCCAAAAATAAGTACTGAAATGGCTAGCCAATTCAGAAATATTTCTAGTTAGCTGAAATAATATAACACAAACACAGATTGTGCTCTTATTTATGTTTGGCTGTTGATAGGCAATTTGTTATGGTTTGAAATATTTTGACTCTACTGTTTACTCATTAAACAGTAATATTTTAGGGGTTTTTAGTGTGATTAAGATATAATGTTATGAGGTTTGTATTATTGTCCAGATAAAACATAATTATTTGAACTGCAGTACCTTATGTATTTTGTATAAATTTAAAAAAAAACAGAATATAGTAAATATCATGTACAATTGCATATTTTGACATACAGTAAATAATATATTGAGTTACTATTTCTTTGATACCATCTAAATTCTTTAGTTAAGAAATAAAAAAAATGAAGGAAATTTCTTACAAAATTATAAATTTTAAAAGTAGAGAATTGTAGTTTACATAAACATTTACACAGTCCAACTACCCAATTGTCCTTAAATTTCCTCTTTAACATCTTCCCTGTGGGGGTCACTTGACCTCTGCTCAAACAGGTCAGAGGCAGCAGGAATCCTTGCATTCCGTGGTGCCCACTCCACTTCAACATAATTAAGAAACTCTTTTATTTTAACAATAAGTTATCCTGCACCTACCTATTGTTTTTTCTTTTGCCTGCTGGACCCGTTAAGGATAAGAAAATTTATGTCAGCTCTACAAATATTTAAAGGTCAGTATTATGCTTTTCCTACGCCTTCTTGATTACACATCCCTTTTGCCTTCAGTAATTTTAATATGACGCAATATCAGTTTGCTTCTCCATTTGATAAACTTGTCAGTTAGTTGTACCTTCAGTTGGTTCCACTCAGAGTTTGGAAACCAGACGCCCACACGGTATTTTTATTTGATTATCTCACCAGGTGGAGGAGTAGAAACATTATAATAGTTGGGTCTCTGACTTCAATCAGATCATCCTCATGGTTAGTATTTTATTTCCAAGTGTGCCCTGGTCCTGGTTCTCTAACTCTCTGGGAGAAGTTTCTCATCTACATCACTGCTTAATAATGCTGCCTCTGTGCAATCTTATCGGTTCCTAATTCAACATCTTTCACCAGCTCTTTATTTCCTACTGCAACAAGTACAAGTCCACCCTGATGTCTGCCTTCTGTATCATGACTTCAATATCATTTTCTGGTCATAGTTCTTACAATTCATTGATTTACATGAAGCACTTCTACAAAATCAGATTATTTTAATTTTTCGAGACAGAAATTTTATAACTTTTTTTTTCTATTATTCTGTCCTTCCACTTTCTCTTCTAATTATATCCTTCAAATCCTACTAATTTTTTGAGGTCATTTAAATCAGATTATTATCTCCTTCAGAAAGCCTCTCTTGGTGTTCCTAAGTAGATGTGTTCCTAAGTAGATGTGACCACTCCTTCTTTTGAATTCCCAGTGTATTTCTCTGATGTCACTTAAAAATTGTGTATATTGATATCTAAATGCGACTTTTTAAACTTGCTAAATCTTAGGAAAAAGAAAGACACTTAGTAAATTTTTGAATTCTTTATATGGATTAGCTAAATATTGCTTCATGTTACACTATATAGATTCATGTTACACTAATTTGACTTGTTTTTCATTTTTAAATTTACTGAAGTACTACAGAAAGAAATGATTAAAACAGATTTTTTTTTTTTTTTTTTTTACCATATGAGAATTCCTATGCTACATGAAAATTCCTTTTTAAATCCTTCATCTTTCTCGAATATCTTTAAAAGCTCTTGGAATTAACCTCAGTCAGCTTAAAAACCGGAAAATTGCCCTGGCCTGTTGGGCTCAGTGGTTAGAGCATCGGCCTGCGGTCCCGAGAGACCCGGGTTCGGTTCCTGCTAAGGGCATGTACCTCGGTTGCAGTTTGTGCCCGGCCCTGGTTGGGTTGTGCGAGTGGCAGCCACTCAACGTGTCCCTTTCACATTGATGTTTCTCTCTCTCTTCCTCTCTTTCCCTTCCAGTCTATCTGAACAAAAAAATGAAAAAATCTCCTCGGGTGAGGGTTTAAAAACAAAACAAAACAAAAAAAATCCTGGGAAATTGAATACATTTTGTTAATTTCAGCAAACAGAAAATCTCTTTCTTGAGCCATTAGATTTTTCTTACAACTTACTTTTTTCTTTTCTCCTTATTTCCCCATTGACTGACCCTGATCCCCCCACTGGGGGTCCCAATTAAGGAAGAAAAGCACTGGATATGTTACGAGGCTGATGTAGATACCGTAGCAGCTAGAGAGATAGAACTTTCTGGAAACTTGGAGATCCTTTTCAAGAAGAAAATAGGCTGATATAATCGCTTTGTAAGTTGTGAGTGGATATGTAAAACCAACTGAACCTAGCAGATAAACATTAATCGTTTTAGACTGGAGAATAATCCAATTTTAGATTCTATCGATATTAGAATACATAGTATTTTCTAAAATTCAACATCACCAGACACATACAGAAATAAAGAGAATTACTCTGAAAACACTAGAGTTTTACTTATTTTGTAAAAAGTTTATGTATTAAGTAAAATGCATATATCTAAATTACTTAAACTATTTTTGAAAATGGAAGAATATAACTGTTTTCCTCCCCAGCATACTACTTACAACTGTACCACAGTCTGTTGAGTGCTTGTGTCATGAAAAAAAAATTATTATAACACCAAAATTTATATAACATATTTTACATCCCAGGTAATTCTCTACTTTTAAAACATAACAATCAATTTAATGTTCATAACGTGAACATTAACTCTGAAGTCAGATGCTATTACCGTCAGCCCCACTAGCAGCGGAGGGAGCCGAGGCACAGAGAGAAGACAGTAACTTGTTGAAATGGCAGAGCTGAGATTAAAACCTGGCTAAGGGTCAGGGTCTCTACTGTAAGGATCTTTGCTACTGCACTAGGCTAACCTCCAAGCACTGGAAACAACTATGATTTCATTGAGAAAGGCCAACAAAGAAACTCTTTCTTTGTTCTGCCCAGCCCTTTAGTGACCGCTACACTTCTGAAGTTTCCATGTTACTAACCTTCTTTTCCCTGAATGTTCTGAACAAATGGCCCATCTCTTAGTATCCCAAGATGCTGCCCAGAATCTCCACCAATTTCCTCTGCTTCTAAGAGGTCCATTTAGTGCAGAGATTTGGGAACTGAGCATTTAATGCAGAGTTTTGGGAACTGAGCATTTAGTGCAGAGATTTGGGAACTGAGCATTTAGTGCAGAGATTTGGGAACTGAGCATTTAGTGCAGAGATTTGGGAACTGAGCATTTAGTGCAGAGTTTTGGGAACTGAGCATTTAGTGCAGAGATTTGGGAACTGAGCATTTAGTGCAGAGATTTGGGAACTGAGCATTTAGTGCAGAGATTTGGGAACTGGGCATTTAGTGCAGAGATTTGGGAACTGGGCTCCAGCGGGAGAGAAAGTTCCACAAGAACTCAAAAGTTAAGGGGCTTGGATGTTCTTCCCTAAAGCAATGTCAATTCAAAGTTGATCTGTTTCATTCAGACTTTCCTGTCATTTAAAGTGAAGGCAGAGAACAAAAACCCCTGCATGGATAAGGGGAACACAGAGCAGGAGAGATTTAATTCTCCATTTCAGAGTTAGAATGTTCTGACATGAAAAGGAGGTTGGAAGAAAAACGACCCTGGGGGGGGGGGCATGACTGGTAGATGATGGAATCACTGTCAGGAGGGCTGGAGAGAACCTGTCAGGCCCTGTCACACACTCTCATTGCACTCTGCCTCGGCGGGCTCTGAACTGCTCTGGCCGGTCTCACTTTAAAGATCTCTCACTACACAGCTTTCTCCCAAGACTTCATTTCTAACCCCACTATTTAATACCTCTCCCTGACATTCAACCTGCCCTGCTTTGGTCAGTTTCATTTTAATTCTTTAGTTGTTTAATCTGTTAGCAAGCAGAACCATTTCTCTCCCGTAAGGTACTTATATTCTTCAAATATCAGTGAAATTATTTTATCTCTTACTCTGATGACATACGAGTAGAAAAATGGTAATTTGAACATCAAAGATTTCAACTGCATAAGAGGAATCTATCATCCTGAAAAGCTATAAATGTTTGCTGCACTTTCCTCTGACTGCTCTTCAAGTGTGGTAGAGACCTTTTTATTTTATTTTATTTTTTATTACAGTAAAGGGAAAAAGTGGTCAAAGTATTTGACTGAGGTCAGTCTTCTTTAGAGGGTTGGGGTGATTATCACTTCGCGTTAGTATTCAGCTGTGTAGATTACAGATTTAGTCATAGAAAATCAGGCCCTGAGAAATAACTGTTCAAAGAGGGTTAATTAAGACAATGAATGTCATCATTTTTATTATTAAACATGTTTGGTTTAATGGGATTGGCCAACTACGCAGAGTTTATATTTTTTGGTTCATCGGTCTGCACTCATTTATCAGGATCCCGTCAGCTCTCAGGCGTTGTACAGAATCTGACCTTCTCACATCTGCTCCCACCGACCCGACAATCCCATGCTCTCTTCCCTGGCTCAGCCAAGAGCCTTCCACATCACTCCTATGAGAACACGCATCTCCTGTCACTGAGGAAAAAGAGCCAGCGCCCTAGACGACCCATTATTTCTGGAGCCCACCAGCTCTACCCACATTGCTCCAGCCATGCTGGCCAGCCTCCTGGCTTCTCTTCGAACCGGCCAGGCACGCGCCCTGTAGAACTTGCTCTGCTTTGCTTCCTCTGGCTGGAGTCATCTCTACTTCTGGTTCCTTCAGGTACTTAAAGTTTTGATTCAAATGTCACTTTTTCAATGAGCCCTTACCTGATCACCCTGTTTTCATTTGCAGTAGCACCCCAACACCTGCTTTCTCCATTGCCCTTGCCAAACTCCATCTTTTTCTGGAGTACTCATTCACATTTAACATACCCCCAAAATGTAATCACTTGTCAGGCATATGGTTTATTTTCTATTTTTCTTTGCTAGAATCTGTTCCATGACAGCAGAAAAGCTGCTTTATTTTGTTCACAGATATATTTTGAGTGCCTGCATAGGGCCTAGGGCTCAACAGATTCTTCTTGAATGAAGGAGAATAACTTGAATGGGGCTTTTAATGAGTATGAAAATAGATGAAAAGTAATTACTTTCTATTAAGAAATATTTTGATTGCCCTGGCTGGTTTGGCTCAGCGGTTGGAGCGTTGGCCTGCAGACCAGAGAGTCCCGGGTTCAGTTCCCCTAGGGGCACGTACAAAAAAAAGAAAAGAAATACTTTGATCAAGTTGAAGTAGTATGATGTACCATACTGTGTTATTCTAGGGCTGCCATTGTTTAGAGAATATGGCTTAGTCAGATATATTTCTACCCTGAAAGAAAATTAATGGCCCCTGTGTACTTTTCAACATCCTGTGCATATATAAGGTAAAGAAAATCCTTTTTGAAACACTGGTTTTTATTTGCCTGAATATTAAATAACCATTTTCATTTAAATGCATTTATTAGTCTGTGATTTAAAGAAAGAGAAAATCTGAAAAGACTGTCTTGCATTTTAAACTGGTGAACAACACACACCAATTTTTTTTGGTTTATAAATTAAATATGAATTATACCTGAAACATTGCCAAAAGTGTGGTCAAAATCTGGTCCAGTAGAAGGAGGAAAGGTATTTCCCTGAACCCTTTCCCAGTCGTTATCATCATTTAGATCTTGGATCCAGAAACAAAAGCCATCTTCAAAATTACAGTTAATTTTCTCATAATCTGTGAATTAAAAAAAGAAAACACTTCCAATTTAGTGCACATGTGACTAGACTAATAGATTGCATTGAAAATAATCTAACCTTATAAAATTTATAATTAAACGGCATGCTTGAAATCTTTCTTTTCAATTTATCTTGTCTTTTTCTTTCCATTTAGTTTTAAAAAATCCAGCTTTGTGCTGCCAACTGTGTTAGAAAAATATTTTTGTTATACCCCATTAAAACTTTAGCAATGACAAGCTTTTAGGTTTTTAATTTTTACATCTTACCTCCACTGGCTTTAACTACATAAACTTCATATTGTGCTTTCTCCCTATTACTAACTATAGTACTCTACTCAGAAATAATGTAGAACATTCACATAATTAATTTTATGCTAATTTTAAAATCTAGTCTGAATTCTTGCAGTATATAAAATTTAATTATTATATTGATTTATACTTTTTCTTAAATTGGTTGATTCTTTTGAAGAACATGAACTATTTTCTCATTTCTTTCTAAGTATTAAGTAGGGAGAAACATACATAAGAGATAACTCATTAAAGAACTTGTATAATAAAACATTCCATCACATTATTAAAGTATCTGAAGATTCACAGGCTAAATAATAAACAATACTTACTATTAAGGTCTCTGCTGTTAAATGTAGTGTATGTTGCATGAAAACCAATATAATCATTTTCATCTGATTCTATAAGAAAGGTGGCAGTAACTTCGTTGGAAAAAATTCTAATTGTGCCAGGATTAGTTTCTGAGAGAGAAGCTACAAAAGAAAATAAAAGTACATATCTATCTAGTCCATTTATCATTCCATCCATCCATCCATCCATCCATCCATCCATCCATCCAATTGATCTATCAATCTACTATCAATCTATCTAATACTACTCAGGTGACTAAAAACATTAATCTGTGATTAATTTATTTTAATTTAAATGACTTCTCCTAAGCACTAGAAAATCAAATTATTATACATATTTATGGCTTGAAAAAACTACAAGTTTATTTTTAGTTATTAGTTACATATACCATATACACATAAATACATGCATTCTTGACTGAAAAAGTTTGTCTAAGAAACATGCAAGTAAAGCAGTTATAAAACTAAAAGTTCCTTGACTCTATCAGGTATTTATCATGCTATGCTAACAGAGGCTAAACTCAGTCACAATACTAGAATCAAAAGTATTTCTTTGGTTTTCTATCCATATAACTGTAGGACCTCAAAATAATACTTGGTGACTTGAGGATTTTTTCTGCTTTATATTCATTTTTTAATATTGACTAATATTGATTATATTATTTCTATTACATATTGGTTTTATCATTTTTTGTCTTGACTTTAAACTACATAAGGAATATTTTTCCAGACTTTTGATTCTCAAGGGTTAGAATAGTGCTTGGGATATGAAAAATATTTGCATAATGATTTACAAACTTATGTTATATGAAATTTGCGTTTTAAACATATTTATAATTTAGACATGCATTCTCAAAGGGAATGATATTGCTTTTAAAGGGGCAAAACTTGGTTCTCGCAGGGGGGTGGGAATCTTAATTTTTAAAGTATAAAGCCTAGGCATACATATGGTATGTACATAGATATACAGAATATCTAAAATATTAAACTTTTATTGAAGAGCAATTAGGTAAAAGGAAAAGATCTACAAAGATTCCCCTTTAGGAGTGATAATAAAAAAATGGGTAAGGAACAATGGTTTAGCATTTTAATTTGATAATCAGATTTAGGTTTCTGGAAAGTACCATACTTGCACGTTGGAGACAAAGCACCACGGTGATTTACTGAGTTTTAAAAAAAGGTCCTTTCATGAACTATTGAACATTCTGTGCTTATCATGTGGAAGTTAGCAAAAAGTGATACATGAATGACAATTTTAATAGAATCGAAAAGAAAGAACATCACGAACAAGTGTTGATTCGCATCTTCCTCTTTTTCTCACAAATGTTGCATGTCCTTCTTCCAGTATTTGCTCACAAAAAACTACATTGGTTATTTAGACTCCTTACACCAGCATACATACATGAATAACCCAAATATTGCTCATATTGAAAATTTTTATAGTCCATAATTGTCCAGTTGCCTAAAGGAAGTGAATGTTCTAGAAACTTTGCTTCGAACCCATCTACCTTTCTTATTCTTGCTTTCTTTTCCATAGCAATGGACATTTTTTGGATTATGGCTTCTGGCTGGATCTGAATGTGGCTCCTGGTTCAGTGGCACCCTTGGTGGTTGTACTGTGTTGGAGCCCCATGTTTTCTCATGTTATCGCACTGGTCTAGATACTCCAGGTGGGCTTGTGTATATCAGAGATATACACAAACTTCTGGGAATGGTGTGGAATGTTTGTGTGTGTAGAGACTTTGCAAACTTGTGTCAGATTCTTAAAGTCTCCTTGACTGGTTGGAGTCTCAGAACTGCAGATCCTGGGGAAGGCGTGTCTGATGCATCCAGGAAGATGACAGCAGGTAGTGGTTACGAGGAGGGGCTCCAGAGTCAGCCTGAGATCTAGCCCTGACTCCATATCTTACTAGACTCCTCTGTGTCTCAGTTCCCTCTGTAATAATATCATAATACTTGCTATAAAGATTGGCGATCAAAAGTAAATATGTAACTTCCATGCTATTGTTTCTCCTTCTCTCTAACTGGGATGCAAGCCCTGAAAACATAGAGATTATACCTAATGCTTTCTGTGCCTCTGCCACTCTGCCAGAACATCAGAAACTTTTAAGCAATATTTGGGTGCCAGAGTTAATATATGAGCAACCAGAGTAATAGAGTTTGCTTACATGAACAATTAGGTCTGGACTTGAAAGAAAAAAGATTTCCTAATAATTAGAAAAATCTTTTTTTTCTTCATCGATTTTAGAGAGAAAGAGAGAGGGAGAGAGATAGAAACATCGATGAGAGAGAATATTGATTGGCCGCCTGTTGCATGCCCCGCACTGGGGATTTGGCCCATAACCTTGGCATGTGCCCTGACCAGGAATTGAACCTGCGACTTCTTGGTGCATGCTCAACCACTGAGCCACACTGGGCAGGCTCTTCATAATTTTTAATGGCTGAATTTTTCTATAGCAGATACGATACATTTTTAGACAATAATTCCTTAAGAAAACCCATTGACTTTTATTAAAAAAATGAAATAAAAACCTCCCATATTTCTATAAACATTAATTTACATAAACTTGCCATACAGTCACATTTAAATGTGAATGAACTCATTGTTTCTTTCTTAACAGCAAAGGCTCTGGTGACCAGGTCTTTTGAAAGAGAAGTGTGGAAGTATGATGAAGATACAGGGGATTTTGAAGGAGGCCAATGGGCAGGAAAGACAGACTTTCTACAGAGTATGATTTTAAAGATCTATCTCCAAACTATTTATTCTATGCAATTTACAAGAGAAGAAGTTCTGCCCCTGGAGTATGTTTTTTGTGTGTTATAAACACTTTGTGAAAGTGCTCACAATTAATTTGGTGCTGGTGATGTGCAGATGAAATAACCAGGTTCTCTTATTAGGAAAGTTCAGATTAGTGAATTATTGAAAAATGACTTTGGAATTAATCTATGTGGGAGAAATGTCATGGGGGACTTGAGGAGGTAGATGAGGAAGTAATCTTTAATTCGGCCAAGCACTATGATTGGAAAGTCTTCCAGAGCCTCTGAGAAGGTCAACACTTTATTTAAAACAGTGCTTGTTAAACTTTCCCGTAAAAATAATCCTATCAACAGAGGTGAGTGAATGAGTACTTCTAAGTGAACACAAAAGGGTTCTAATGAAAACACACAGTTTATCAATATGCTTGACTCTGAAAAAATATTTGCATGTATTATTTAATTGTACATCCACAATACGATTACTTATGTTGGAAGGTAGGTTGACCATTATACATTCGGCTATATGTACGCACACTCATGTGCACTTCATTTTTAAAAGCTTGGCCTTGAATTGTCAAGCTACAATATTAGGCATATGTTTTCAGCATTTAGAAATGGAATAACAGCTAAGTACTTGGGATATCAAGAATGACATAACAACTACACACTCAGAAAATAGCTTGGCAATTTAAAATCAATTTCAGTATGCTCACCCAGGCTATTTCTATTCAATTTCTTTGAGGATGCATAAAAATATCTGTGTATTTTTCTGAACAACAAATTAAATAAGCACATTTATAATCTTCAACCACTTCCATACCCAGTATTGATAATTATTACCATCACTGGATTGAATATTGTACCTTCACCACTGCAGTTAAAGAAAACACTTTTGAATTACCTCTCTTATCAACCTATTCTCATTGACTTCAATTCCCATAATTATTTCGAAAAGACCCTTTTGTACTTTAAATCATCTTCTTTATATCATAATATACAAACCATCATGCCCACCTTCCTCTGATACTTTTTACCTGTTAGAGAACTTTTACATGACTTTCTACGAAAATGACTGACTGAATAATGCCTTTACAACTTGTTTATACTGACTTACCCCGAATCAAATATATAAGAACTATTTTATGATACTGTATACTTATATTTTCTTGTAATTTCTCTAGATAATTGTTTTCCCCATTTTAATTAAAATATTTATATATTTTCAATGTGATCAAGATAATCACAGTATTTGATATATACATTTTGAACTGGAATTTTTTGTTTGTTTTTGTTAATCCTCACTCAAAGATATTTTTCCATTGATTTTTTAGAGAGAGTGGGAGGGATAGACAGAGACACAGAGAGAGGCAGAGACAGACAGAAACATCAATATGAGAGAGAAACACATTGATTGTTTGCCTCCTGCATGACCCCGACCTAGGCCGGGTATCGAACTTGCAACTCAGGTAGCACCTTGACCAAGAATGTAACCCGTGACCTTCAGTCCAAGGGCTAACACTCTAACCACCGAGCCAAACTAACTAGAGCTGAACTAAAATTAAAAAAAAAATTTTTTTCTTTATTGATTTTAGAGAGAGAAGAAAAGAGAAGGAGAGAGATAGAAACATCGATGAGAGAAGATATCGATTGGCTGCCTCCTTTCTGGCCCCCACTGGGGATCAGGCCCACAACCTGGGCAGGAGCCCTGACTAGGAAATGAACCATGAACCTCTTGATTCCTGGGTCGATGCTCAACCATTGACCCACACCAGCCAGGCTGAACTGGCATCTTAATGAAAGTAAATCTTGTATACATCTCTCACATAAAGACATTTGCTAAATATTTAGAAAAATATGGGATTGTAAATCAAGAATGCAGTTCTGGCATTATTCTATAAAATAACTTTAGAGTTATGATATTCGTTAATTACATACTATAATATCATAATATATAAACCTGTTAGTTTAAACCTAAATCAACAAATACAAAGTTTTTATAATATATCAGGCACTGTGTTAGATGCTGGGCTAAGATATGATTGCCTTGATTGAGAAAAGGTATGATTTTTTATTTTAAAATATAATTTTAGTAGTCAATGTCATTTCTCATATTTTCCCAAGTTAAAATTAAATTATTTACCTTTTAAAATTTTGAAATAGATTTATATTTCAAAAAGATTTTTAAAGTTAATCTATTTGTTATAATTTAAATATACTTTCATATATTTTTTTATATTTGGACATTTAATTTATTGCCTTTTATCATAATTATTTGTATATTATTCACATCATTATACTTAATGATTTTAAGATTTATTTATGAATTACTGATAATATAACAATATGAAATAAATAAAAACAGCATTTGAGCAGCTAAACTCTACAAATTTTGTTTCTATCATGTGTAAAATAGACATTATAATAGCACCTACATAATATGGTTTTGGAGAACGTTTATTGAGTTAACTTAAAGTGCTGAGAACACAACTTTGCACATTGTCAGTGATTGATGTATACTAAAATTTATTATTATTATCACATTAGCCCTTGGAAAATTTTATATGAACTGGCTTATCTGTCCATCTATGTAAATATTTATTTTGACATAATTTTAAGGAACTGGCTTTATCAACTGTAGAAATAAGTAGATTATCAAATGGCTTGGCCCATTTATTAAACCAAATGTGACTCACCATGAGTTCATCTGTTTTGTGTACACTCATTGTTATATTTGTACTTGGGCTTTTAAAGCACAAGGAAGAAATGCATTGTGTGTGACCTCAGAGATTTGGGGTCGCGTTTTGCCTCCAGCATTAACCAGCTCAGTGGACTCGTGGTCACTTAACTTCCTACTCCTCATTTTCCTCTCCTGTGATGCATACTTTGCATATTTATTCAAAATACTAAATAAGAATATCCACAAACAGTGCTCAGTAAAACACCAATAGTACCCAATAAAAAGTACATATTATTATCATATACTCAAATATTTCTCAGGTCAATAAATAAAATAAAACATTCATTAGGCCCAGCTGGTGTGGCTCAGTGGTTGAACAGCAACACATGCACCAAGAGGTCGCCGGTTCGATTCCTGGTCAGGGCACATGCCCAGGTTGTGGACCCAATCTCCAGTGGGTCACACAGGAGGCGGCCAGTTGATGTTCTCTCGTCATTGTTTCTATGTCTCCCTCCTTCTCCCTTCCTCTCTCCCTAAAATCAATAACAAAAAATAAATAAAAAAACAAAAAACAAACAAAAAAAACCCATTCATTAGATAGAATCCACTTTTCATTTATCACAAGCACAATTTGAAACCCAAAATTATTAAAATAAATGCAGTTCTTGTATTACCTTTAATAACAGGTGTCATTTGCAACCTCCTCTTAGCTCTGTATTAGACCATTTCTCCAAAGTGTTAGAAAAACTAGTGATTCCCTGACTCCACCTCCATATACTCTTCATCCTTATTTTATTTTTTCATGGAATTTCACTCCTATGTTTGTTGGCTAGCACTCTGTGGTCAGGTGGAATCGAGTGGGGTGGGTACGTGTAAATTGGTGTATTCCTTGCCCTCCGCTCAGCTTCCATCAATGGCCATGTACTTAATGACAAATGGTTATGAAATACCAATACTACCCACACCTACCATTTACTGAGCGTAACCAACTTTATTAGTAGTAGCCCTGGGAGAGACTAAGGAACAGAGTGCATTTTGAAAATAGGAAAGAAACCCTGGCTGGTTCGGCTCAGCGGTTAGAGCAATTCCAGTCAAGGGCATGCACGTGCCTGGGTTGCAGGTTCAATGCCCGGTCCTGCTCTGGGTCATGTGGGAGGCAATCAATCGATGTGTTTCTCTCCCATCAATGTTTCTATCTCCCTCTCCCTATCTCTCTTTCTAAAATCAATAAAAACATGTTAAAAAGAGTTCTATGAGTTTCCAACTTGTGCAGTATCAGAAAAAACAGTATGGTGGTTTTTCGTGTTTGCTTCAGTTTTGCTTAATGGGAAGAAGTAACACTCAAACAAAGCACAGTAAGCAAAGATATAATTATATATATATTTTTGGAAAATTCCACAATCTTAAATAGTATCAGTTAGAATAGAATTATGTGAAATAGTAACTATTGTATTACTAAGAAGATTGATTACATAGAGCATTAAAATATAAATTTTTTATAATCAGGACTAGTTTTGTATATTCTTTCTAGAAACTTGAAGTTAGAGTCTATTTTTACTTCAAAATAAAGAGAAAACACATCCCTCAAAACAGTTTCTCACGTATTTTCATTCTGATAATGGATTGCATATTTGTTTTAACTTACCTCTTAAAATCTTGCCTGAGCCCACACCTTCAAAAATATTTAATATATCTGCATAATATATGTTAAAGGAATCAAAGCTCAGTTTAATGGAAAGTCCTTGGTTTACACTAAAGTAAAAGCAAAAAAATAAGGTTACTACACTTAACAATTTTCACAACTCTTAATACATTCTAGAACTTGAATGTATTTTTCTAAATGTACTTAAAAAAACACATACCGAGATCAACATTCTTAACAAAATTTTCAGTGTGCGGTACCGTATTGATAACTATCGCAATGCTATATGGCAAATCTACAGATTTTTTTCAACTTGCATGACTGGAACTCTATACCCACAGAAAAGTAACTCTCCATGTTACCCTCCCCCCAGTCCTTGGTAATCACCATTCTACCTCTTTGCTCTATGAATTTCAATATTTCAGATGTGTTATATCTGATGAAATCTCCTTACTAGGAATTGGTTTTTCAGATTTTGTATTTCTTCCTAATTCCATGTTGGTAGATTGTATGTTTGTAGGGATTTTATCCATTTCTTCTAGGTTATCCAATTTGTTAGTTTATTATTATTTATATTAGCTTCCTATGATTCTTTTAGTTTCTGTAGCATCATCTGTTGTAATGTCTCCTTAATCATTTATTTTACTTGCTTGACTATTCTCTCTTTTTTCTTAATCTAGCTAAATGTTTGTCAATTTTGTTAGTATTAAAAAACAACTGTTTCATTACTTAAAATTGTTTTCCTATTGCTTTTTAGTTTATTTCTTCCCTAATATTAATCATATCTTCCTTCTGTGAACTTTGGGCTCAGTTTGCTCTTTTTCTAATTCCTTAGGTTGATCATTTTGGATCTGTTCTTTTTTAATATAGGCATTTATTGTTATAAACTTTCTACTTAGTACTGTTTTTAACCCATGCCATAATTTTTAGTAAATAGTGCTTTCGTTTTCATTTGTCTAATTTTCTTTTTGATTTTTTTCTAAGGCCCATTGAGTATTTAAGAGCCATTAAAGACTTGCAGTTTTGTTTCAGGAGTTCCTAATTTCTTACTCCCTCTGGCGTCCGCATGTGGCACTGCAAGTTCTCCCTTGTTCCCTGCTGCAGCCAGCAGGCGAGGTGTTCAGCTGGCGTCATGGGAGACAAATAGCAGTTTCTGGGGCAGAGCTTGGAACAGCTGCAATATTGGAAGCATGCTGCTCTCCTGTCCGTCCGTCCTGAGGGAGAAGCCTTGGATTGTGCGCCATCTCCCAATTATGTCAAGCCGTGCTGGCCACAGCAAGTCGCCCCTGTTCCTTCTTTGCTCACAGCACGTCCTCAGGCATCTGAACTATGCTGATGCCATCAGTGCTCCGCGTGAGGCAAAGAAACTAGCCCCTTGGGCAGCCTGGGAGAAGTTACAGTACTGGAGGCATGCTCCACACTTCTTTCCTTCCAAGTGAGAAGTGGTGAGCCAAGACCAGATGTTCTGGTGCCCAGCTGTGCTGGCTCGGGGGAGGGCTCACATGAGTAAAATGAACCTGATCTTCTTCCCATTTCAATGGCTGTTCTTGGCTTTGTGCTCACTCGAGGGTACTGCCACTTCTTAATTGGATTCTGAATTTTTTATGAATGCATTATCATTGTTAAATTCATGTTTCTGTGGAGAAAAAAAAAAAAAAGCCAGGGCTTCCTATTCTACCATCTTACTGTTCAATGTATTTTTTATAGATATTCCAAAGTAATTTTCAGATGAAGTTAAGCCTTACTATTATGTTTCAATTATACTGTAAAAAAAAGCAATATATTTGCAGTATAACAAAATGGAAGGAATGTTTCCATTTTACTATGAAAAGTCAACTTTTAAAATTTGGATAATTTAATTTTAAATTTTTTTGAAGACCAAAATGTCACTTATAAAATAGTCCAGTGTAGGATATATAAATATTTCCTCATCTGAAACAGTTTTAAAAAGAATTATTTATAATTTACATTATATTCACTTACTCTATTTCAGTGTTTACTCTTTAAAAAATCTCAATAAGTATTTACTTTTAAAACAAACAAGAATAAATAGGGACATTTTTTAAGTATGTGGATTGTGATCAGTTGTGGCCCCTTGGGGTGGAAACTCTGTGTTATACATTTTCATTGTAGTTCTTAGTTAGATACTTAATTGTCTTAAATATGAGTTTATAAGCCCTGTAAATTTGACCTAGCTTTATTAAGAAGTGGCTATACCAATTACATTATTTTTATTTGGCATTAATAAAATTTGAGAAAGTGCATGAAGACATCATTTAAGATTCAAGCATTTTCCAGTTTCAGAAGAAATAATTTAAGATTTTTCTAAGGCTTTCTGCTGACATTTAGAGTAAGAAATGGAATATTTTTCATTTTACTTATGAATAATGCCAATAGTCATTTATAAATGGTTCTTTTTAAATGTGATGTGATTATATTGGAAACAATATCCTCCAAATTGGTAAATTTTTCACTTGGCAAAAATCACTTAGAATTGCCATTTTAAATACAAAATCACATCTCTGGCACACAAGTAACATATTGTGTAGAACATGAAAACAGAGAAAATTATGCTCCTAGTTATATTACATGACTTGCATGGAGCTTAGCTCCAAAGTAGAAATTATTTAAAGAAACAGGATGTTGCTCTTTCCCTGAATACTGCCAAGTAAATATGTTTAGAACAATCTTCCCTTCACACCCCATCTCACCTCTGGGCTGTGTCGACACAGGAAAACGACCCTCGTGAATCTTTATGGGGCCATTTCCTACCATTTGTTTGGCAAGAACCTGAACCTCTGCCTTTTAATCTTCTGTAATCAGCTGTTATATTGATTCCCCCTAGTTTTCTAGTGAATCATTACAATGATTAAAACTATTTTACAGTAGGTTAGGTTGTGAAACCAGAATCTCATCCAGCTGCTTAGAGACATGAACTAACCAGAATGTCATTTCTCAATGTAAATTCCATAGAACAGTTATACTGAATGCTCCGTGGGGGTGGCGGTGGGGTTGGTGGGGGTGGATTTCAGTGCTTAATAGGAAACACAGATTGTTTGGAAACTGACATCACAGGTTAACTTATTTAAGGCCATGAGAAGTCCTCTAAACTTTTTTTTCAAAAATTGCAATGCGTTTATTTCAACATTCTATATATTTGAGTAAAAATGACTTTTTCCTTAGTATATCTGGGAGGAACTTCAAGTAACACTCCTCTGTGAAAAATGCTTAGGTGAACATTAAGGTAGATCAACCATCAGCAGTTTGATTATTTTGATCATGATAATGATGGGCTTGGTCAACTGAATTAAGAGTTTGGAGGTTAAATATATAGTAACTGAACCAAGTGTTATTCAAGATCCAGCGAAAAGGATGTATACACAGGGTGGTCCCAGCTCTTCATCTGCCAGGGCCGAGTCACTCCGGAGGAGATTTTTGCACAGATGCTGCCCCAGGGAGAAAGGAGCTACTCTGGAATCGGGATGCCGTGCCGTGACATACCATTTCTTGTGATACAGAGACGTACACGTGTGCTGTCTAACTTGTCAGCCCTTGATTTGTCCCAACCACAGAAAAAACCTTGCTACAGAGCCCAACGAGATGGCCCTAATTATTAGACAGGATTGTTCACAGACAGAAGACCTTTGTAAAAGGTTAAGAAGAAGAGAGAAACTTCTTAGACAAGTTATCTGTTGGGAAGGCTTTGCTTCATCGCTAATGAAAACAGTTGTCCATAAAAAACTGATACATCACTCAAGGTGGTGAGACTTACTGCATCAGAGAATGACTTACTGACTTGAGAACAAGGAACAGAAGATGGCATATTACCGTATAATCCACCGGCAAACAACACCGGACTTGGAAGGCTTTGGGTGATCGGTAGCCTCAAAAGATCCCGAAGATCCAGTCAGCAAAAATCTTCCATCACAAGCTGTAGCTGTAAAAAAAAAAAAGGCAATTAATGTTAGACAAACACCAGCTTGGAAGGACTTCCCAAAGGAAATGGGATTTACACCGGCCAGTGAACACTTCGCAGGGCCTGCGAGGCTGAATCTGTGCGAGGCCATTTGACAGAATTGAAATGAGGCGATGACGCTGATCCGATCTCATGCTTCAGGTCCACTGGCTGTTTTCACATCCGCTTACACACCCCGGCACAGGGCCTTTAGGACAGCATTTCATTTCCGAACACTGACACCTTAGCGGCACGTTTAGTATATTATTTCATATTCGCGAGGAAGCAAATACATCGGAACTGTAAACTTCCGATTTAGAAAACTACCTGCTAATGTTTTGTCTTATTTTCCTCATTGAACTAGAGCTACGGTGAAGTTCAAGTATATGCAGAGGAAGTGCTGTGTCCTCCTGAAACAAGCAGAATGGGGCCAGGCAGACCATCCCTGTGATGCCAGTGGCCTGTGGAGAAATGCACTCGTTCAACCTCTTTTACCTCCTTACCCCTGTCCCTAGACTTGCTGTCTAGCTCAGTATTTCATTCACTATTTCTGACTGTCTTGCTTCCTCGATGCCTCATTTTCCTCTTTTAATTCTATTTTTTTTCTTTATTGATTTTTGAGAGAGGAAGGAGGAGAGAGGTTGAAACATCGATGAGAGAGAACATCGATTGGCCGCCTCCTGTGTGCCCCCCACTGGGGATCGGGCCCACAACCTGGGCATGTGCCCTGACCTGGAATCGAACTGGTGACCTCCTGGTGCGTGGGTCAACGCTCAACCACTGAGCCACACTGGCCAGGCAACTCTTTGAATTCTTATAACACATTTATTTTGTGTATTTCTTTTCAATGTCATGTATTATTAGTCACCTTTAATTTCTATCTGAATTATTTTCACCTGGATTAAAATAATCTTGAAAGCGTGAACCACGAGTCATACCTTATAGTGTTTTATTTTATACTTGCTATGTGTAGTATATGCCCCCCGAAAAACCATTTGCTTTTCACAAGTTTTTGTTTTTCTCAGATTATTTTCTATAGACTTAATTTCTTAGTTCTGCTGATACCATATAATAAAATAATGCCCCCTAGAATGTGTCCTTGTTCTCTGGGTATGTTGTTAATTCCTCATATGCCAGAAGCATTGATGGAGGGTAGGGAAATCAAAGAATTTATCAAAATTAAATTGCTGTTCTTGGAGTCTGAGTGCTGAATAAGCTAATTTTAAATTATGGATGGAAAAGTACACTGTAACATAGCAACTCTGTTAAGTTATAAAAGACAAGCTGGACCATGACATCACATATTTTATATGGGCACAAAGTCAGAGAATCGAATAGCACATAGAAATCTAATGTTTTTGGTTAACTTTCAGCAATTTTCAGCATAACTTTTATGCAGCATAAAAAAATTACTTTGGTAAAAAAATTTTTATGCTCAAAGTCTATTTAAAAACAATGAGCTAGGAATTGATTACACTGGATTATGACTTGCAAGCCTGATTCCCAGCAGGAGACGGCAACAAAAAATAATGACAAACTGAGAACAGAAAAGTTAATAACCCAAAATGCAAGGATTAATCTGAACAATCTGTTACAGACCTTAGGAAAGGAAAGAGAGAAAATTGTGCCTTGTGGAGAGAACTAAATTTCCTTTTATGTAATCCTGGAGCAAACAAAACCGATTAAGGCTAATTTATATGATTTAAAGATAACCAGTAAAATATGTGACTTATTAAAGCAGAACTTAATAATTTTCTAGACACAGAAGAAAATCTCCCTCACCTTCAACTCTGACCACCACAAATCATGCCAAATAATTGGGACAATTAATCACTTATCTTCCATGTCCATAAAAGTAAGAATACTGTCTGCTTGTGTTTTAGGTGATAGGTAGAGCTATTTAACCACAGTTTTTCAAGAAATATATGTACTCCAAGACAGTAAGCAATGCAAGAGAGTCCACTGCTATTGTAAATACTTGGTATTTAATGAGGCAGAGCGATCAATCCTACCAGCCCTAACATAACTGCTAGAATGTATAAAGTATTTACTGGGTGCCAGCCACTGTTATAAAGTCATTATATATGTATTAATGCAATCTTTACAACAGCTTTCTGGAGTTATAGGTAGGGAAGCTGAGGCACGGAGGGTTAGGTAACTAGCATAAATCCTCCCAGCTTGGAAGTGACAATTTGCAGCCAGGCAGCCTCATTCCGGAGAACACCGGGCTCCACGGCCCGATACCCTAAAATAGAGTTATCATTATGACAGCACCTCCTTTTTGAGCTGAAGAGCAGGGAGTGAATTGTAAACGGAATTAAAATGAATTTCATTTCTTTGTGACAGCATGGATGGACCTGGAGATTATTATGCCAAGTGAAATAAGCCCGGCAAAGATCAAATATCATGTGATCTCACTTCTATTATGGAATTCAAAGAACAAAATAAACTGATGAACAAAGCCGGTCCAGAGGCATGGATACATGGAACAGACCGACAGATCTCAGAGGGGAGGGGTGTGGGGAGGACTAGAAGAGATTAGCCAAAGAACATATATGCATATATACATAGCCTATGGACACAGACAACCAAGTGGTGAAGGCTGGTGGGGGCGGGGGGGCACAGGAGCTGGGTGGAGGGGAGCAAAAGGGAGGATAATGAGGAATATCTGTAATAGTGTCAATAATAAAAAAAGAAATTCCATCTTTTTCAGTGTTCTTAAAATTAAGATATTGATCATATTTGCAATAGCAATTCACAACAAACAAGAGGAAGCAGAAATAAGAGAGTATAAGAAGAAACAGAACAAGACCAATTTAAGAACTTGTAAAACCTTTTTTCAAAGCTGGCACATAATAGTAATTCTTCGTATCCATTCACTACAAATATTTCGAGAAAGAAATCAACAGTTTCGTGTCTCACAACAGGATTTATAATTTTCCAAAAAGCTGAGTCATGTCCCCATGGCAGATTGTTATATATTGGCTCTACCCTTGTCCAATCCCTCCCTGGGCACGTGACTGACCTGCACCTCCCACGTGACTGAGTCTGGTCAATAAACTGCTGTGGAAATGATTCGTTTATTTCCAGATGTAATTTCTAGAGATCTGTGTGGCATTCTTCCTTTGTCAGCATGTTGCAGAGGACCCAGGGGAAGACTTGGGGCAGAGGGTTGGTGGAGGAGCTGGAGGAGGAGCTGGGGGAGGGGCTGGAAGAGGAGCTGGAGGAGGTGCTGGGGACAAGCTGGGGGAGGTGCTGGGGGAGGTGCTGGGGGAGGGGCTAGAGGAGGAGCTGGGGGAGGGGCTGGGGACGAGGTGGGGGGGGAGCCGGAGGAGGTGCTGGAACCCTGAATGCCCACTTAAGGGCACAGCCCTGTGCCATCTTTCTGGGACTGTGATCTAAGTGATGACTAACCTATCATTGCCTGAAATTGCTGACATTGTTTTTCACAATATTTAGCCTGTCCTGAAGAATATGATCAATCTGACTGTCCAGTGTTCTATGAAAGTGCTGAGTTTTAGTGGGAAGGGATAACCTACTGGTCAGGTTCTGCTCTAAAGGGCCTTTGGTGAATTTCTTCAGGCAAGTAAAGATTAAGAAGAATTTTACTGAAGGTATTTATAATAAAATTACTATAAGATTGAACTACTTATAATAACAAAGTTCATAATGTCAAAATATTATTATTTCAAGATAGGGGTTTGTGCTAGGGATTTTCTTACATACTCAGTTAATTACAGGATGTTTCCGGAGAACTTAATTTTACATAAGGCAATAAAGCAGGATAACCTTTTGGGAAAACAGATATAACCCAGCCATGGTTGAGCAGGGTTACTGAGTGTTCAAGGTCATAACTTTTTATTTTATTTTAATTTTTTAAAAGATTATCTATATATAGATATGTATATATATACACATATATATATTTCTCTTTATTAATTTTAGAGAGAGAGAAAGGGAGAGGGAGAGAGAGATAGAAACGTCGATAGGAGAGAACATCCATTGGCCGCCTCCTGCGTGCCCCCCACTGGGGATCAGGCCCACAACCTGGGCCTGTGCCCTGACCGGGAATCAAACGGGCGACCTCCTGGTGTACGGGTCCACGCTCAACCACTGAGCCACACCAGTTGGGCAAAGTGATAACTTTTTAAATGACAAAGTGTTTTCCAGTTCAGTATCAGAAAAAATTCGGAGTGGGAGATAAATGAGCCTGTCAAATAATACCAGCTGTTCTGTCGCATTATCGGAAATGTCTGAACGGGGCTGGATTTAGGAGGGTCTGCTCTTAGGACCCACTGAGGGCTCCCTCTGCTGGCTCAGTCTTTACTCTCTGTGTGTTTTGCGCAGGGCAGTGAATTCTCCAAGACGTTCAAATCCAACTTCGGTGGCCGAGATCTCTGCCCACCCGCCGAGCTCCACTGTGCACTCAATAGCGGCCTGTGGAGACACCTGCCAGCTCCCAGAGAGACCTGAACACTGGCTAAGGCTGTAGTCAGCAGATTTCCTACTCACAGGGCAGCTGAAAAGTGAACTTTCCTGCTGATGCAATTCTAATCAGAAAGGAAAAACAATTTAAAGAACTCTTGGTTCAGCTAGAGTCAGCTATAAGTTGTGCAACCCTAAATAACGGAAGACCAAAAGAGGAAGTTGTGTGAGGAAGTCAACACTAGTTTGATTCTATTAATCACATAAACTGGAATTAGAGCTCAAACGGGGAAAAATGAGAGAGAAATATAGAGAGAGCATAGGTCCATTTCATACAGAAAGAAGTTCCTGAAATTAACGTTGCTGTGAATGTAGATTCATGGTCAAGGGCTTTTAGGTAGAAATGCCACTCGAGTGGGTGCTGAGGTGGTCCCTGGCTTTTGGGCACACCATTTAATAATTAAATGATAAACAAAACAATGTGCATGCCTGCATTCTAGCTGGATTAATATAGATTAATTGATTGATTGGTCGACTTCCTTATCCACAAATTTTTTATATTTATTTTCCATGATAGATACAATCCTAATTTTAAAATACAAGTAGTGAAGAAAACCAAGAAAAATAGAAAATGGGAATCTAGGGGATTAAGGAAGTTAGAGATAAGAAGGGCAAGTTGATACTAACGTTCAATTAACACAAAATCTCTGAAGATACTGAAAAGCAATAATGCTCTTTGATTGTCCTTAAGACAAATTTAAAGAATTAATTCAGTTCTAATACTGAGGCTCAAGTCATGAGTTTATAATGGCTCAGGAAAATAAGTCATGGCTTCATAATTTATTTCAGGACAAGTTGTCACTCTTATAAGATACATCTACTGTCATTTTTTGATATGCACTGATATTAATTTATCATAAAAATTATTAACTCAATGACAGTAAAGACCAAATTATAGATGTGGTTCGTTTTCTGATTATATACATCCCCCCATTTAAAGTTACTGATGGTCACTATACAGGCTTAAAGTTCTGTGTCTCACTTTGACATACATTATTATTTTTGAAATATAAGTCAGCATCACCTGCATTACCTCATGATGGCACACTTGTATTATATTCGCCCTGAAAAGGTTTTAGAAACTGCCTGAAAACCATAGCAAAAGAGAATGTTTCTTTCTTCTTTGAGTAACTTAGTTTTATAAAATAGATTAAAAATACTCTGTAGTCTGTACTTTCTTCCAATATGCTCTGAGTGCACTTCAAAGTATGTGGTCAAACTTTGAAGGTTTGAATTTTATCCAAGAACATTTGAATTAGGATTTCTTAGTAGAAACCTCTTTGGTCAAGTTGCCCCTCCCCCCCTTTTTTGAGTTGGTGATGGGAAACAGACCGACTCCTTCCCTGTCTTTTAAAGTATCAAGTAGATAGGTAATTTTTAAAACTTCGGTTGTTACTGGAGCATTCACCTCCAATTAATATCAAGCAAGAAGAGCAAAGTGACATCAGTAACAGGAGAGAAAATGTAGCAAATAGCAACGACAGCCTTTACACACCTCAGGAACTAATAGTGCTCGGGGTCAGTGTGAACACCGACCATGAATCACACCCCAAAATTATTCAGTTCAGGCTTGTTGTTTAATTCTTCAAGAACCAATTACAGGTTCGAAGTATTCAAATAGGTCTTCACATTGCTTAGTCATCTATATTTATACTTAGGCGGTAATCTCTCATATATATGTTACTCAGCTATACAAAGAGTAACTATGCTTAAATCACTCCCAGCCGTGCTTGGCATATCGTGAGTGCTACTTAAGTTCTAATTAATAATAATAACAGTATCATTATTAACAGATGTCAAAATTTACAAAGAAAACAGATGTTTTATTCATGAGACGTTAAGATCTTATTCAAAACTGATTTCCATTGTTCACAGATCTACAGCTCAAGTACACTTTCTGTCTATTTGTTTCTGTGCCTAAAGGCAAATAAAAGCAACAATCGACATTAAATAATGGCAATTACTGAGTTAGGGACCGTTAAAATGGAAAACAAAGACTGATATTATGCTGGTGAAAAAACAGGGAAAAAAGCATTCAAATTCATTATAATTACTTTGGAATAGCTTAATAAGGGATGAAAAAGAATGTCATTCTCTTCCCCCACTATGACAGGCACTGTTCACCCCAATCCTTTCCGGCATCAGCAAATGAAATTGTTTAATTAATTAATTTTAATACTGTATAATAAAGTTTAAGAAAATATTAAATAGTTATTTTTTAGATTTGGTGTTAAATTATAATCATGGACATAGGGTAACCATGGATATAGGGATAACTTATTCTCCGGCCGTTTCTAGTACCTGAGGGGTGTGTGTGTGTGTATGTGTGTGTGTGTGTGTGTGGTGTGTGTGTGTGGTGTGGTGTGTGTGTGTGTGGTTTGTGTGTGTGTGTGGTGTGGTGTGTGTGTGTGTGTGTGTGCGCACAGTGAGGGTCTATGTATATATACATGGTCTTTATACATATGCATGGTCTACATATATACATGGTCTAGGTCTATGTATTGTGGATGAGAAGAGGGTCCCCATAGCAAGTAACCTCACAGGGTGATGCAATCATAAATTTGTAACTGGGCAGGTCATGGTGGGTGTCACATGCAGCATATAACTTCTTTAGGAAAAGGCTTATCTTTGCCTTAAGCAAGTCCTGTCTCTGGGCATCTAGGTTAACATACCTTTGAAATGCCCTTTTCAGACCTCTCTTTCTAATAGTTGGCCATGCTTTCAAACCCCTCCTTCTAACATGTGAGGGCAGGGGATTGTAACTGTCCTGTGGTCTGATGCCCGGCTTGCTTGCTCCTGCCTGTATGTCCCCTTCCTTACGTCTCCTCCGGAATTTCACAGGTCCACGGGCACTGCACTGTCGCTCTCCAGGGCCTCACACGTCTCACATACATTCAATGTGGCTTAAATAAACTCATAAAAATTCTCCCCAGGTCTGGATGTTTCTACGTTGACAGTATATATACAGAGTTTATACAAAGTAAGGGGAGGCGTGAGTAGGGAGAAAACTGTACTTACCACAAGTTTTGGTGTCTTCATCGGAACCATCTGGACAGTTTAATTCTCCATCACAAAATAAATCAATTGCAACACAATTTATAGCATCAGCACAAGGTCTTGAACCAGGCAGGCACTGCACTGAGACGTTTCCTTTAGAAAAAAAGATAAAGTTTGTAAGTTTACAACATACTAGATTTAATTTCTTACCATGGGTACAATGTTTTAATACTTATGATGTATTTTTGTCATTTAGGTTCTTACTTATAAACATATATTTCAATTTCCACTAGAAATATTTACTTCATTTAATAAATCAATCATTTGTAAGAATTTGAAATTTTACATTTTGAAAAAGAAAATTCTTCATAGATGTTAAATATGAATGTTTACTCTGTCGATTTTAACCTTGATAACTCAATACTACAGTTTTGACATTTGACCCGTACTGTGTACACCTCTTAGTACTGTTATATATGTTTATGGAATAATTTATTGCATTGTTTTCCACATCATCTGCATTACTGATAATCACTTCACTTACTCATAAACATATTTTTTGAAAATAGTGTGGCTGAAATCAAGGTTTGCATCTGCAGAGCAAAACTTGTCAGCAGAAGCCATTTTATAGCAAAATAAAACACTTAAAATTCCCAGCACATTGCTATATTGAGCAGTGGAAAAACCCAATGACTATTTCCTTCAATATTATTTTGCTTCTTGTGTCAGAGGTTCTTTTTTTTTTTGTATCCTCACCCGAGGACATCTTTGCATTTATCCTCAGATAGAGGAGGAGAGAGAGAAGGAGAAAGAGAAAGAGAAACATCGATGTGAGAGACACATTGAATGGTTGCCACCCACATGACCCCAACCGGGGCCGGGGACAAACTGCAACTGAGGTATGTGTCTTTAGAGGGAACCGAACCCGGGACTTTCCAGTCCGAGGGCTGATGCTCTAACTGCTGAGCCAAACCAGCCAGAGCAAGTCAGAGGTTCTTAATAGGAAGTGTCTGCCTCTGAAGAGTTCTGTGCCATCTCTCGCCAGGACCCGATCAATGTGCAGCTCTCAGCCTGTCCTGTCCTCCACCTGCTCCTCTTCCATACGCCCACATATACAGATCCACCAAGAAACACATTTTAATTTCAGAAATTAACTTGGAAATTTTAGGTGCAATTCTATAAATGACATATGGTTTTACGCTTACTAGATAAAGATATATGTCTTTATTTTTTAGAGTGATATGAGAATTTGAATATTTTTTTCTGTGATTAGGTAACAATGCTGGTCTAAAGTTTTTGAAAAATCTTTAAGCTCAATGCATTTTTTTTGTTATTGTTCTTAATCTTAAAACCGGCACTGCACTGCCATCTGCTGGGTTTTGAAAGCATTTGTTAAGCTGAAATTTCTCCTAATGCTCCATGAAATTAATTGGGAAAATAAAAGTGCTTATATCAATGAGTCTACTAAGGTAATACTAAATTTGGAATATTTATGGACAGAATTGCTGACTATACACACAACTAAATTAGATTTTTGTAATTAACTTTAATGAAAAAAGATGTAAACATTGAGAAATTCATGGATCATCTAACATCTAAAAAATCGAACAAGAAAAAGATCAGAGCCATTCCCAAATGACAGAATATCCTCATTTAAGACAATAAAAAAATAATAAAAATGATATTGAGTAAACTGGAATGCATACTATAACTGTTGATATCTATGGGATAGTCATTAAGAGAGTCCTTAATCATTGAGTCCCTGACGCATGACAGGTGGAACGTGAATAGTATTCCATAAATGCTTTCTAACCGAATAAACAACAAAAACGCTTTATTCTAGAAACTCTATGTCTTATTGTAACAGTCGTTAATAGAATTCTAGCTATTCAGCATTGGAAAGAACAGATTTTGGGAATAGCTGGGAAGATGTATATTTTTGACTAAACTCCAAGCTCCATGAGACTAGAGTCTCTGTCTTATTCCTTCTTTTACCTCCATCCCTTACAAATTTGTTACACAAAGAAATAGACAATATATACTTATGGAGCGAGTGAATAATCATTAATGATATCAAGGGATCCCAAGTGGTGCCACTTGCCCACGTGGTTTGAGGTTGGGTCTATGAAGTTTAATAGGCAATAGACAGAGACATGGAGCATCGGGAAGGAAGTTCCCATGGGAGGCATTAGAACAGACTGAGAGATTGGGTCATTGACTAATTAGTTTTTAAAAGAGATACATAAAAGTGTTATGGGAACACCAAGGATTAGGTAATTTGTTTCCTTTTTTATTGCCCGGAAAAATTTTTCTATTTTTTGTTTAGATAGAGTGGGAGGGAGAGAGAGAGAGAGAGAGAGAGAGAGAGAGAGAGAGAGAGAAACATCAGTGTGAAAGGGACACATCGAGTGGCTGCCTCCCGCACGACCCAACCAGGGCCGGGGACAAACTGCAACCGAGATACGTGCCCTTAGTGGGAACCGAACCCAGGTCTCTCTGGACCGCAGGCCGACGCTCCAACCACTGAGCCAAACCGGCCAGGGCCAATTTGTTTCCTTTTGAGGCAGAGATTGTAAACATATTTCACACACTAGGTTTTGAAGGATGTCTAGAAAAGTACAAGATGACAGTTATATGGTGTGACAGGAGCACATCAATATATGGAAAATAGATGAATCTAACTTTTCTGGAGGGTGGATTGTTTATGAAAGTCATGGAGGGCAGGGAGTGTGGTGTCAAATTCTAGGGCATTTACTTCGTCTTTTTAAAATGTTAGAAATATTTTTCTATAGCAATGACACGGTAAGTCTTTAGATATGTGTGCGATATGACCAGTCCATGTTTCATTCACACAATTCTGGACAACTGGAGAATCACGTGGAGAGAAGAGACCAAGAGGAGTTGTTACAATGGTCAAGGTGGCAGTTGAGAGTTGGATCTCTTGCACTAGCAGAGAAGATGGGGCATGGATTCAGTTGCTGTTTTACCAAATGGGTGAGTTGTAGTGGCCAGATGTGCTCCTGACCAATGGGAGGTGGAGAAGGGGTGCTCAGAATGATGCCTACTCTTCTGGAGTGGCCAGTTAGATTACCAATGGCCACTAGTTACAACAGTAAGTAGAAGAGGAGCAGCTGGTGGGACTAGAAAATAACTCCAGTTTGAAGTATTTTGATTTGAAAATGGAAATATTAGGAACTCTAACTTATTTTGTACTACATTTCTCCAGACTCTGTTTCACAAACACTTTTCAGCTGCCTTGCTCAATGGAGAAAGAGAAGTTCCTCATATTGAAACCAATGTGAAAAATATAAATGTAATTATTCTAAGAGGGTAGTACATTTCAGGGTTTTATCAGATTGTATTTTAACCTCTTCTTTCATACATGATGACAATTTCCAAAAAAACCCGCATAGATGAAAACATTAACTGTTATAGAAATGAGTCAGATGCCAGTTTTGTTTGTTTTTTAATGACCTCCCATTCTTAAAACTAGAATTCTTTGACTTGTGGACTACTTTATTTGTCATTCATTCCTTAATTTTTGCTCTGGTCTTTCTCCTTTTCTAAATCTGCCCTGTACTCAACAGGGAACTTTTAGGAAAGGAGTTAAATGACTGTATTTTAATAGAATGTTAGTTGGTTCTGTTTATTAGAAGCTAATCAATTGCCAGAATATTAGTTACTATTATCTTGAGTGGGGAAAAAACCTGCCCCTATTGTTATTTCTATAAGGTATTTTATCTTCAGGCATATTTTCTGGCATATTATGCAAATCTACCAGTAAATAAGTATGAATTGGTGTTCTGTAAATAAAAGTTTTAATTGTCCATTTATATTTGTACCATAAACGATTCCGTATAGACTCAAGGTGATTCCTTCAGCGTGCTCCAAAGTCTCAATAATTTCTAGTGATTTGAGGTGAGGGTCCACCTAAGCCTACTTGGCCAGGCCCTGTGCTTCGCATGTGGAGGATGAAAAGACTCCCCCGCCTACCCAAAACCAGTTATAAAGAGTATTACAGCAAGATAATAGTTTGAAAATCATATTTTGGAAATCTTTTATTTTCCCTCTTTCTTAAATGGGAGGAATGATGCTTAGCAGCCAAAGCTGTTTAAGACAAATGAAGCCCTAGGGCCCTGTAGCTTACTTAGCAGTGGAAGTAGAACATGATCCAAGAATGCCTGCCTTTAGAGACCAGGTTCATTTCACTCCACTGTATTGGAAAAATAGATATCAACTTACAGAAATTCTCATCTACTTTGATAGAACAAATTTAATCTTTTTAGCAAGACTGTGGCTGGTCAATCCAAATGAAATTACAGTGGAAGTAGATACTTTTAACAGTTCTGATGTCACGTGCATAGAAATGTCTTCAGTGCTTAGCAATATATTCATGTTGTTCTCTTAAATGTAGAGAAAGAAAAACACTTAAAGTCATAATGCATTTGGTGTCAGAAAAAGTCTCCATGTTATAGTCCTGGGGCAATTCAATTGGGGAACATAATTCTACCTTAACTTCTCCTGACCCATTTTCATTAAATCAGCCAATTATTTTTCTTCAATCCCCCAAACCTTCCACATAGTGGAATTATAGCAAGATTGCATTTTTGTAGGAGTTTGAGAAAGCCCATGATAGTGAAACTGTTTTTCTTCAATTACTGCCTACAGAGTAACAAAAGACTAGAACAAGCTGTAGGCTACAAACCCTTCAAGCTTTTGAACAATTGCCCAAAACAACCCCGCTAGGTGCTCTTTAGCAGCCAAGAAATCAATCAGTGTAATGCAACTTTAGTTCTCATCTCTCTCCTCTACTGTTCCAAATGGGTCAGTAAAACTTTATGGTAATTGGCAGCAAAGACAATTGAACAATAGAACATAGCCCGCGTGGACTCTGTACCCGCTATCGTACAAAAATTTTCTTTGGCAGAATTTACAGTAGCATTAATGGCAGGGATATGATGCATGCATTTGTTGATTTTTCGCAAACTCTGTCTTCCAGGCATATAAAAATGAGAATAAACTTAACATGCTTGAAAAGCATATTCATAATAAATTATGGCTTGGAAACTGCAGTTTTCAAGTTTAATTGCCTTGTTCCCCTCTATAAATCTATAGTATCTTGCTGGCTGAGAGGAATAAATTGGAACTATGATTTGGGCCTCATGGATCCAGTAAAAGAGGGAATATGATATTTTGCCACCTACTTACCTTATTATAATTCTTTGAAGATTGATTCAGGTAAGTCAATACAGTCTCCAATAACAGGAAGCTTCGGAAATGGAATTCTTTGGTCAAATAAATGATTAGATTAAAACGAGCATTACTGAGTCCAGTCATCTCGTTTTAACTTTAGTTTTTGAAGATTTTTTTTACAAAACGTATCCAACTGCATTTTTTTAAAAGTCAGAACAGGGAGCCCTGGCCAGTTTGGCTCAGCGGTTAGAGCATCGGCCTGCGGTCCGGAGAGACCCGGGATCGGTTCCCGCTAAGGGCATGTACTTCGGTTGCAGTTTGTCCCCGGCCCTGGTTGGTCGTGCTGGTGGCAGCCACTCGATGTGTCCCTTCACGTCAATGTTTCTCTCTCTCTCTCCCTTCCTCTCTCTCCCTCCCACTCTATCTGTACAAAAAATGGAAAAATATCCTCGGGTGAGGATAAAAAAAAATAAAATAAAATAAAAATAAAAAAGAATAGTCCAGCCTTTTTAAAAGTCAGAACAGGGAAGGAGAAGGGACGCAGCACTAGTTTAGTCCTCGCCTTTGAGCGAGGCGTGAATGGCGCCAGTACTGTGGTATTTGTGTCATCTCTCTTAATTCTCATGACCACACTCTAAGACATATCTTTTAATTATCTTTCAGACAATAAATATGAAATTTCGAAAGACTACGTAGCTTGCCAAACACTACATATAGAATAACTGGTGAAACGAGTTAATGGTGGGCTTGCTATGCCTTTTCAACGATTGAGAATTTTATGTTACTTTTTGGTTTTCATTGTGAATAACAACTGTTTAAAGTGTGAAAGCTACGAGCCCTGGCCGGTTTGGCTCAGCGGTTAGAGCGTCGGCCTGTGGTCCGGAGAGACCCGGGTTCGGTTCCCGCTAAGGGCACGTACTTCGGTTGCAGTTTGTCCCCGGCCCTGGTTGGTCGTGCGGGTGGCAGCCACTCGATGAGTCCCTTCACATCGATGTTTCTCTCTCTCTCTCTTCCTCTCTCTCCCTCCCGTTCTATCTGAACAGAAAATGGAAAAATGTCCTCGGGTGAGGATAAAAAAAATAAATAAATAAAATAAAGTGTGAAAGCTACGAGTAAATGTATGCTGATCCTACATTTAGTAAGAAGGGCATTTCTGCTCCACTCTCCTGGAAAGACAAGTATGGGAGGATTTTACTGTATGTTTTCTGTCTCCCATTCATCATTTCCTTTGGCTGGATGAAATTAGACGGCTCAGCTACTTCTTATATTTTTGGTGGGTATATCTTCAGGAGAGTAAGGGGGAAAAACTTTTTGTTAGTTCAAGGAGTCCTTGCTTTGACATTGATTTTTCTCCCCTAAGTCATTCCACATATTTCTCTTAGGACATTTGATATACCCGAGGGATCCTCAATAACTGTGGGTTATGTGACTCACTCAGTGAATCAGTGCAAAGACAAATAGAAAACAGGGCACTACTTTGAATATTTGTTGCTGACTTTCAAAGTTTTGAAAATAAATTAATCGAAATATATTGAACTATATTTTCAGTGTACTTTTAGGCTAAACAAATGAGCCTTAATCCAGCCCGAGACCATTTTTTGAAAGTGTGTGGAAAGGTGACTTTAGATGCCATAGTCTTCCACCCTGGAGAAGATACTGTGGGCTGAAGAGCAGTTTTATTTTTCTAAATGTTATGCAGCTCTATGAATAACAACGAAATACAACTCCAGGCAGGCTTATCCTACCATAAAAGACCTCTGTGGATTTGAAGGTGTGATAGTTTGTTTCATAAAGCATTTTAATGATTTATGGATCACTTGCTTTCCAAACATCACATCAGCCATTTTATGCAAGAATTATTCAGTCTTACCCAGAAGGGTATTTGCACAGAAATGTCCTCTCCTTGTATGTATATAACAATTGATATAAAATTTTAATAACACAAGAATGGCAGTGTTATTTTTGGAGCTGAAGATCTGGGCAGTATTACCTACACAGAGTTTACTTGAAAGAGTAGGGACACACGCGGGCCATTTAACATGACAGTGAAATGAAGACCCGAGGAGCTCCTCAGTTAACCAGCAGACAGACAAAAGAACAGTGGATAATTACTAGAGATTCAGATAAATTGTCACATCAAAGACACATACCAGGAGTTGGCACAGAGTACACACTTAAAAGTTGTTGAATGAGTGAATCCAAGGCTACTTTGGTACTAATTTGGCAACCAGTACCATGTTAGGAGGTGTGAAAATAAAATTTTAAATCTCATGTAAAATCAAGTCAGAAAGCCCTGTAGGGAGAACCCTCACACACACAACCACTCGCTGCACTTGACCGGTTTTGTCAGGACTGAGATTTTTCTGCTTGCTTAGCAGCAGGCCCAGCCAATACCACCATGACTTAGCCAATGGGAAGCTACTACACTTCAAATCCTGTGTCTTCCAATGGCATCTTATTTTAAACAGCCCCTCCCAACCTCCCCATTTTCTCTAAAAAGTCATATTCGCTTGCTTTTGCCATAGCTTGCAATCTCTCTGGCAATTCCTGACTAAACCCGTTTTGCGTAAAAATAACTGGCTGTTTTATTTTTAAAGTGAATAGAGGAGAGAGAAAGCATGCCCAACTTGCATGCAGAGAGAATAATCAAAGAAAAAAAATTCTCACATCGGGTGAAACCTACACTTTGAACCCATGAGTGGCATTCTTAGCAATAAATAATAACCACAGTTCTCATAGAGGACTGGAGTGAGGTCAGATAATCCAGGCATTAGTCCCAAATATATTAACTTTTGGTGAAATCATAAGCTAAAACTGCAAATTTTTAAGCTATAGTTTCCTTATCTATAAAACAGGAGTAATAACTGCTGTGTTATCAGAGAATTCTCAGGAGCCTAAAATGAACCATCACTGAAAACTTTTTTAAAACAAAAGAAATAATATTATTAAAACTGACCTGGGGTTGCCAGAGGACTGCTGGTTGTTAGTTTGCCTGTAAAAATAAATGACATTAAAAGAACTATTACATTTTAAACCGATTATTAGGATTTTATTGTATATTCTTTCCTGTTTAACCTTTAACTTGACAGTTTTTTTTTAAGTTACTGTGAATTATTAGTATCTATTAACTCAAGAATATATCATTTATGTCTGGATCTAAGAATAAATCTTTTGTTTGTTATCACTGATCTTTAGAATTGTAGAGTGGAGGCTTTTAGATTTTTGTCTTTCATTTTTTAAGTATAGAAGGTGATGTTTTTTAATTATCAATAGTAACTAAATATAGGAGTCATTAATTTTGTAATGGCTGTAGACTTAAATGTTGTAGTTTAATCTGAAGTTTGGGATATGCTTGGATTATAGGCTTGGAGGCCAAAGGAATTGCTTTCAGTTCCTGAGTTTGACACTTAATAGCTGTGTGACTTGTTTTTTGTTGTTAATCCTCACTCAAGGATTTTTCTCCATCATTTGAATTTTAGACAGACTGAGAGGGGGAGAGAGAGAGAGAGAAACAGCGATGTGAGAGAGACGCATTGATTGGCTGCCTCACGCAAGACCAGACCAGGGCTGGGGATTGAACCTGCAACCCAGCTACGTGCCCTTGACTGGCATCGAACCAGTGACCCGTAAGTTCACAGGCCAGTGCTCTAACAGCTGAGCCAAACTGGCCAGGACTGTGCTGACTCTTTTTAAGTGAAAAAATTATTACCTCTGTACAGGATTATTTTGAGAATTAAAATATAGTACTTGGCCCAGTAGATATTTAAAAAAAAAAAAGAGTTTTCAAATATTATAAAAATGGTCATGATTATATAGAATATAAAGAATTATATTCTTATGGTTTTATAATAAGTTTCACTTTAAAAATCATTTATATATAAATTTGATATTTGGAATGACTTGTGAAATATTCAGAAAAGTTGTATTAGTCAGGATTTATGAGAAATGTATTTCCAGAGGAGGAAAGAGACATGCTCAGTGATTCTAGTAGTTGGCAGGGCCAAGATTAATATTCACATCTATGACTTCAATTTAAATGATTTTTCTATGAAAGAATAATTTTACATTTGAAGATAATTCGGTTAATTCTAAAATTATTGATAAATTTTCCAAACAAATTATCTTGATAGTAGTGTGATCTTGATAAAACAAAGTGAAGTTCTAAATTTTTTTTTTAAATCCTCACCCAAGGATATTTTTCTATTTATCACCAGATAGAGTGGGAAGGAGGGAGAGAGAGTGAGATAGAAACATTGCATGAGAGAGAACTTCGAGTGGCTGCCTCCCACACAACCTGACCCGGGCCAGGGATGGCTGCAACCCAGGTACGTGCCCTTCACTGGAATCGAACCCTTGATTCATTGGTCCATGAGCTGATGCTCTAACCACTGGGACAAACTGGCCAGGGCTAAAGTTCTAAATTAAGGAGCAGTAATGACCAATGGTAGATAGAAAGATGGGGAGAAGAAAGTGCTGGAACAAAGTTAACACTGAGCCTTCAATTCTTTCTAAACAGTGCAATCCATTTTGAAACTTTCTTTCCCTCAGTCCCAGTTATGGTTCCATCTCTAAGATTGAATGGTCAGAGCCTTATTTCGGGGTCACACACACACTTTTCACTTTAAAAATTACTTATATATACATTTGATATTTGGGATGACTTCTATAATATTCAGAAAAATTGTATTATTCACCATTGATAAGAAACAGAGTTTCAGAGGGGTAAGGAGACATGCTCAGTGGCTCACACACACTTATGCACACCCATACATGTATACCTATGTGTATAGAGTTTAAAATATGAAATTGGAAATACATATTTTTGGCAGATATAACTAAGCATTAGGAAATCTGCCATATTATGAACTATATTATTCCTTACTAAATGTATGCTTCTTACATTTTAATATAAAGACAAAATGTCTTAGAGCTACTAAAAAAAAAAAAAAAAATAGAATTCTTCCCTAATGTCATGGAGTTTGGAGTTTGATGGTCACCAAGTTAGTTTTTAAAATGTCATTGTACTGACCTGAAGTTGTTGCAGGGCTCACCGTAGGGGAATCCAAAGATGCTGTAATAAAGTAAAGTGGGTTTTAAGCTTGGACCTATAATATGCATATATTATGAAACAATGAATACAACTGGAATATTCATTCAAAGGACATCTGATCCTTTAGAGTTATTCTTTGATCCTATTTCCTGCTCAATGTGCCTTTTATTATTTGATTGTAGTGCATTTGATGAATTTCCACAATCTGTATATGCTCTGTGAAATTTGCCTATGCAAAAAGTTTGCTTTATTTTAATAATTTAATAAAAGTATGTATTTTTCATCATAGTTATATAAAATAATTTATATTTAAGGTAGCTAATGTCACATTACATACCAGATCTTATCAGACCTAGAACCAATGGTGTTGCACTGCAATCTATAGTAGACATCAAAATAATCTTGTACATAATATCAGCTGGGAACTGTCCTGCCTAAGTATAAAGTGCTTTATTCATTAAAAACAAAACAAAACAGTCCGGTCGGGATGGCGGCGTAGGTAAACGTGGTATCGCCTCCTCCCACAACCACATCAAAATTACAACTAACCTACAGCACAACCATCCTTCAGAACCACCTGACACTGAGCTGAATGGCAGTCCTACGACTACGGAATTAAAGCAGCAGCCACACCGAGACTGGGAGGAGGGCGGAGGGGACGGGCTGGTCCCACACCCACATGTGGCGGATAAAAATCAGGAGGACACCTCGGCTGGGAAGGTCCTCCCTGAGGACTGACGGGTCCTCGTCCCACACCAGACACCCCACTCAGGGTTCCAGTGCCAGGAAGAGAATCCCCATCACTTCTGGCTGTAAAACCAGCAGGAACTGAGGTTCAGGGAAGCTGAGGCTGCGGCAGCGGCAGCTCCTCTTAAAGGGCCCGCACATGAACTTACTCAGAAGTGCTTCCTCTAAGCTTGGAGGGGAGGTAGCTTGAGGGTTGCCAGAGACATACAGGGAAGAACTGGGCTGTTTGGCCTCGGGACAAGGGTTGGAGAGGCAGCTCTCTCCTGGACAGATGTGCTGGCAAAGGCAGATGTTCCTTTGGTGAGCCCTTCCCTGGGGAAGCAGACAGCCACCATATCTGGGTCTACAGCAACATGGCTCACACTGTTTGCCCCACCCTGGTGATTCCCTGAGGCCCCGCCCCACCCAACTTTCAGGCCCACCCAAGCTGTTTCCAAAGGCTTTACCATAGAATTGGCCTGTCTTGGATCCTGCTTCAGAGTTTCCTAAAATCTTTCATACACGAAGCATCTGTTCTCAGCAAGCCCCATACCTCTTGTTAAGTTGTCCCAGGCCTGGCATTAGAAGCAGCCAGCCTTGGTTCATAACTTGGCTTTTCCTGGGCAACTCCAAGCCCAGCACAAGAAGCAGCCATCTGCAGATCACTTTGTAAACTTATGCCAGGTGGCCCTGGATAGAACACAAGCAGCAGCTGCCCTTGCCCCAGAGCCAGCACACCCAGTGAACAGCTTCCAACCACATCAAACCACCACCACACAACCACCTCCATAAGTGACACACTCAATGAGTGGACTTGGTGGGTACCAGAGCCCGGATGAGGTAAGTCTTGCTCTGTGTGGTGGGACCCTACACAGCTGATCCTCCAAGGTAGTCAGAGGTCAGTGGTTAGTGGGCACAACAAGTCCTTGCAGCTGATCAGCCTGAGTAAATCCCTTCCATTGACATGCCAACACCAATCAAAACTTAATTACAACAGAAGGGTGTACAGTCCACACTAGAAGCACACCTCAAGGACCCAGCTGGGGTGATCAGAAAGGCTGTCCCACTGGACCCTATGGGACACCTACAACAATAGGTCACCCTACAAAGCTTAGGAGACATATCAACTCTACCTAATACATAGAAACAATCACAGGAAAGCAGCCACAATGAAAAGACAAAGAAATATGTCTCAAATGAAAGAACAGAACAAAACTCCATAAAAAGAATTGAAAAAATGGAGATAAGCAATCGAACAGATGCAGAGTTCAAAACACAGATTATAAGGTTGCTCAAGGAATTTGTTGAGACATTCAAAGAACTTAATGAAACCTTCAAGGAACTTAAGGAGAACATAAACAACATAAAAAAAGACCAGTCAGAAATGAATGATGCACTAACTGAAAGAATAATTTACAGGGAATCAATAATTGAATAGAGAAAGCCAAGAAGCAAACCATTGATTTGGAATATAAGGAAGCAAAAAACACCCAACCAGAACAGCAAAAAAGAAATAAGAATCAAAAAAAAAAAAAAAAAAATGAGGATCGTGTAAGGAGCCTCTGGGACAACTTTAAGCATACCAACATTCGCATCATAGGGATGCCAGAAGGAGAAGACAGAGAACAAGAAATTGAAAACTTATTTGAAAAAATAATGGCAGAAAACTTTCCTAACTTGATTAAAGAAACAGATATACAAGTCCAGGAAGCACAGAGAATCCCCAAACAAGATGAACCCAAAGATGTCCACACCAAGACACATCATCATCAAAATGCCAAAGGTTGAAGACAAAGAGAGATCTTAAAAACAGCAAGAGAAAAGCAGTTCATTACCTACAAAGGAGCTTCCATAAGACTGTTAGCTGATGTCTCAAAATAAACTTTGCAAGCCAGAAAGGAGTGGCAAGAGATATTCAAGGTGATGAAAAGCAACGACCTACAAGCAAGATTACTCTATCCTGCAAAGCTGTCATTTAGAATCCATGGACATATTAGGAATTTCCCAGAAAAGAAAAAACTAAAGGAGTTCATCATCAGCAAACCAGTATTATATGAAATGTTGAAGGGTCTTCTTGAAGGAGAAGAACACTAAAAGTATGAACAATAAAATGGCAATTAATATCTATCAACAAATTGAATCTATAAACAAAATGAGCTAGCAGAACAGAAACAGACTCACAGATACAGAGAACTTTTTGTTACTTGCCAGATGGCTGGGGACTCGGGGGGTGGGTGAAACAGAGGAAGGAATTAAGAAGTACAAATTGGTTGTTAGACTGATGAACTTCAAAGGGAAGGGTGAGCGAGGGCAGAAGGAGATAAACCAAAGAACTTCCAGGTATATATGCATAACCAACGGACACCAACAATAGTGTGGGGAAGGCAGGAGGGGAGCAGGGGGTCAATGGAAAAAAAGGGGGGGGAGAACATCTGTAACACATTCAACAATAAAGATGAGTTAAAAAAGTATCAAAACAAACAAACAAACAAACAAAACCTAGCTATTTTCTTCACCCTTTAAGATGTTTAATATTTAAAAAATATATATATATGTTTTTGCTTCACAAAATTATGACAATTATGTAAGATATAAAGGAAACCAAAGCAATCTTATGAAAAATCCTCATCTTTGTATTTGTTTTTATTCAAAACTGTATTTACGGTAAGTACCTTAAGAGGTACATTGTCTTCTACCAACTAGGTTGTTTATTAGAGTATTTCTTCATTTCTGCATTGTTTTGATTCTACAAGATTTATAGCAGTTTCATAAATGATATATGGTAGATTATTGATAAAGAAGAAAAGGTTTATACCATGTATTCACAAAGAAGACATTTTAATTTCTATTATGTTTAGTTATACAATACACTATGTAAAAATCCATTGTATTTGTAAAATTTTTAACCAATTTTAAAATGTAATAAATTGGAAAATTCACATGATACAAGTGAATATTAAACTTAAGTACCTAAAATAAAGCTTGGTATCATGTTTATAAAAATGTTTTAATGTAGTTCAGTAAATTACATGTAACTTCAAGAGCATATTTTTGGGTTGATATTGTAATATACTTGATTGCATTCATAGTACTTATTCTAAGTTAACTAAAAAAATAGGGTTTTATTGAAGAAATAAATATTTTTAAAAACCACAAACTTTGCCCTGGCTGGTTTGGCTCAGCGTTTAGAGCGTCGGCCTGTGGTCCAGAGAGACTGGAGTTTGGTTCCCGCTAAGGGCACATACCTCAGTTGCAGTTTGTCCCCAACCCTGGTTGGGTGATGCGGGTGGCAACCACTCGATGTGTCCCTTTCACGTCAATGTTTCTCTCTCTCTCTCTCTCTCTCTCTTCTCTCCCCCCTCCCACTCTATCTGAACAGAAAATGAAAAAGTGTCCTCAGGTGAGGATTAAAACAAAAACGAAAAAACCCCACAAACTTTCCTCCCTCAAATAGTCCAACTGCAGGAGTCAGGAAAGTAAGTTTAGCACACTTGTCAAGTCCTCTGCCATAGCAACCATACAGAAACGGATATACCTTCACATAATGGTTGCTAGAAATCAACTTTCAAGAAGAAAATGGACTATTGAAAAAATCTGTCAACATTGTTCTAAAATAAAAACATTATAAACAATCTCTAATATAATGGTTAAGAGCAGACATTAAGATCCAATCATCTGGCTCAGAAACTTGATCCAACTCTAAATAGCTGTGCGACTTAAGGCAATTTACCAAAACTACCTGTGTCGGTCTTCTCTGCAAAATGGGCATAGTGAATACGTCAAATAGTAAGATTGGTATGAGGAGTAAATGTGTTGATAGGTAACACATCTGTTCTAGCTAATCTTAGTTGGTAGCAATTTTCAATGCATCTAAATCAGACAAAGATCTAAAACAGTCTCTGCTCCCACAAAGGTGCCCGAGGGTATCCAACCAACAGTAGAGGAGTAACTAAGAACATTAGCTGTCTTCTCACTGAATAGATACCAATGGAGATAGGAGACTTAATGAGAGAGGAAACTGTTTGATGAACCCATGTTGTAAAGGAAAGCAAGGTCCACATTTTCATACCTATTATTATAAAACTGAAACAAACAAAACAACTTAAAATTTAAAAATTCTGCAAGTTTTGCCTGGCCCGTGTGGCTCAGTGGATTGAGCTTTCACCTATGCACCAAGAGGTCACTGGTTCGATTCCCAGTCAGGGCACATGCCCAGGTTGTGAACCCGATCCCCAGTGGGGTTATGCAGGAGGGGGCCAGTTGATGCTCTCTCTCATTGATGTTTCTCCCTCTCTCTCCCTCTCCCTTCTTCTCTCTCTAAAATCAATAAAGAAAAAAAATCGCGAAAAAAATTCTGCAAGTGTTTATATATTTGACTCAGAGGCAAATCTGGGTTGACTGATCTCATTCTGTAACAAAACTATTTTAACTGAACTTAGGCTATTTTGAATTCGCCTTTATTCCACTTGATGTGGATATTTGTGTAATGATTAGCTTTCTAACATCCCCTAATTTTTGAATTCCAAAACATTATGGCTTCAAGGTTTACACAGAAGAGATTGTGGACCTGGATGGACCTGGGCAATTATTGTTCTCAGCCAAAACAAACACACAGAGTATTGTTTGTTGCACTGAAGTGGGGATACATAGAATGAAAAATTCAGAATAAGCATTGGTAGACATATAGTCTGCTATTATTTTTGATCCTGTATACTTCTTCACCTTTGACTTATTAATATCTTAAAATTACTTGTCAGTTTAATAATAACATTTTCTTTTATAAATAACCAGGATGAATAAAACACATTGACCCCTCCTGTTCCTTTCTCTGTTTTTGTTTGTTTGTTTGTTTGTTTTTTTAAGTTCTTAAATAGAGATTGGACTTGCCACTGGGCTTTATAATCTAATGATGTCTATGACTTAGAAATTAACGAGTGTCATTTTTTTGATGGAGAGTTTTTGGAATGTCAGGGTATGCTGGACTAATGCCAAGAATGTGGTAAGACCCTGAAATGTTTACGCATGCCAATATTTTTAGAACTTTTTTGATATTTTATATTTTATAAATGTTTCCTCCCTGATGTATTTCTTCAAATATGGTTTCTCCATCTTTCATGTTTCCCAGATAAATGTGTTACCTCTAGCAATAAGACATGTTCCTGAAATCAAGGGTGATCCCATTGCTTCCCGGTATATCACTCAAATTTTAATTTCATAGCTTAATGATTCAAGGAAATCAAATAATGTTCACAGTTACCTATGATATCAATGCTGTTCAAGTCAATATGGAAATAGGCCAGTTGACTGGATTTATTTGCTTCAATGCCTTGAATCAGTTCTTCTTTTACATTTTTATCTGACACCCACTGGTCAAAGGAAAGGTCAAATATGACTATGATGCTGCCATTCCTGCAAAGCAAAAAAGATGACAAAAGAGAAAAAAGTCAGAATTCTTCCCGCAATTTGTGCTTAATTCATTTAAGATGTTTTTGAAATTCTCTACACTTATCACCTTGTTAATTCTAATTTCACCTGTGCAAGGTGGGCGGCATCAAATATTATTTTTATTTTACAGGAGAAAGAAACAGGAATGAAAGGCTAAACGACCTTTCCAAGAACACCCAGGCAGATCCAGAACCGGAATCTGAGTTTTCTGAGTTTTCCCTCAGCACACACATTTCCCGGCCAGGCTGTTTCCCGGAGTCACTTGTGTCAAATTAAACCAAATCAAGTGGTTGGGTGACGTTAGCTCTTGTTTCACTGTTCGAAGGAATGGAGAGCATCGGTTTGTAATGTCTTACAGATCATTTCCAAGTAGAGAAAAGTCTAAGGTAGTTTCACTGCTTTCTGAGAAAAGTTTTCTGTGTAGTTTATGAAGACCTGCTAGCAAGCTTACAACAATTAATCTATACCTACATTTTTTTTCTCTATTCTTAAAATAAAATATCCAAGTATGCTCTATTTTAAGGAATAGAAAGAAGATAAGCATACCTGGGTTATTGGGGATTTATGACATATGCATTCATATTGTCAAGGGTCCGGAGCATCTTGCCTGCATCATCTCAAACCATAGCATTAAAGTTCAACTGTCCAGCCCGAGTCATCTCCCTTTTTATTTTTATTCCCTGCTCTGCAGCATGCACTTAAAAAGTTTTATTTACTGGTTGTTTGTTTACAGTTTAAAGAAACAAACCTATGAATACATTTTTGGCCCAGTAGGGATACCTGAGAGATTTTTCCCTCCTGCCTACTTTTCTATTTCCTGCATGCTATGCTTTCGGGACACAACCACATGCGAGACAAATTTTAGCTCTGATTCATTCCGTAGCCCTCAATAAACTGGGGGTGCTCAGGGTATACTCAGAACCTTAGGGGCTAGACTTGAGAGAACCAAATTTTGGTATGTATTTACTAGTTCCAAATTTAGGCAGTTTTGCTCATATCCTTACAATATCTATACATTACTGATCTTCTTGAAGGAGTTCATCAACTCCAGAAAAGTTCTTTGTGTATCTTTCCATATATCTATCTTGGTAGAACTTAGAATAAATGTTGTTGGTTTTTATCCCTCCGTGATGATATCCAAGATGAAAAGTCATAGTAGATCAGCATCTCCACTTGGTAGGATGTTTCTTAATGTTTGTGCTGCTCTTCAAGGTCACGGTTTAGCAGAAGTGATTCCTTTCTAGGCAGCTGGTTTTTCGTTTTTGAAGTAAACAGGATACTCTGATACAATAATTACACATTTCACCTCTATTGATTATTTAAAAACCTTACAGTGTTTAACTTTCTAATTATTTGCTAAAATCATAGTAAGTGACAAGGCTTCTTAGTAACGATTTAGTTCAGGGTTCCCCAGACTTATCCATGCGTGCCATCTCCTGCTGTCCTAGATAAAGATACACTTTGTCACAGACACTTTTATCTACGCTTCCAGGCTTGTCAATTTTTACATGCTGGCCCATCTCTAAGTTTATTTGAGAATAACGTTCCGGTTTCTCACAACAGGTAACGGTTTCTCCTACCTTTTCTCACGTCATTGATAGTTTTACTCATGGGCATATGACCAGACCCTGGTCCATGGAGTGTGAAGGGACAATGATGGGAACCTTTTTCATATATAATGAAGTAATGGTTTATAGTGGACCGCTGCTTTTATTTGTGGAACATTATTATGTCTGTATGTGATTGCTGGGATGACCACATCCCTCCTGGTACCATGAGACACACTTTGGTTGACAAACTAAATATAGCAGAATGAAAAAGAAAAGTACCTCAGTTATTGTCACTGATGTTATATCACTGAATTAACCTCTGGTGAAACTTTCAGATGTCTTGTGATGTCAGATGATACACTCCTTGTCCAAGGCTCTTTCAGTTATGGGTTCTGTTCGTTACAATTTAATCCTAACTGGCATATGGCTTTCAGGCCTCATCACATGTATTTACACAGAAGCTCCAGGAAAGGGGGATTACTCAATTTTTGCACCTGCTATTGGCCAAGTGGACATTTTAACAATAAGGAGATTGAGGCTCAGAGTAACATGGATAACTTTGCCGAGAGGTATTCAGCTTATTAGTGTCAGAGACAGGAATGAGATTCAGAGACAGATGTCTCCCAGATGTGTTTTTATATAGTTCTCATTCCCCACTCCCAGCACCACCTCTGCCAACACCATTGTGAACCATTTGTTAGGGACAGACGATGCACACATTTACCGGGTGTACATGTACAATGATCTTGCATTGCTACCAGAATTTGATAACCGAATGGATCAGGAAAATAGCTAGTTGTATTTTTTGGGGAGAGAGATATTTATAACCTCCATACATTCAAGAGACAGACTCTCCCCTCTCCCCAGCCCTTCGCCTGCTCTCTGTCCCCTTCTTCTTTTGTCTCCTTAGCCACCCTCACCCTCAGTTACAAGGACAGGGTTAAAAATTAGTTAAAATAACAAATCCATTAATTTCTCTGCCTTCGATTCCACATCTTCTCCTTCTCCTTGAATAAATCTGAGTTTTCTCTTTATGTAACTTCCACATGTTTAACTTGACTGAACACTTGCTTTTACTTTTATTTTTTAAGGGAGTAGACAAGGTAAGATATTTTGGGTAGAGAAAGTCTAAATCTGAAATTTTCCCTCACTGACTTGAAAGTAACTGGATTAGTTCATCCTCAGGCATGAAGCGTCTCTGTATGAAAGATGTGTTTTCTTGCTTGTGAATTATACATTGCATTTAATAATGTATGCTTTGCAGGGACAGGAGTTACAGATCCTGTACCCACATATACTTGTGTTGTTCAAAATTTGTTTTCTTATTCAGTGCAAATGTTGAGATAAGAGAGATAGGTAGGAGAAATCAGGAAAACTGTAACAGTCATTTGTGTTCTGCCTAATAAGAACACTAACACTGTTATTTTAGTACTTTTGTAGTGATCTTGATATCACTACTCTGAGTTTGATTTTATTTATTATGGTAAGTGAGAATTTTTCCTTTAGGAAAAATAAAAAAGAAACAATGGCCATCTTTATTTTAAAGTACTTGTTCCAGTGGAATATCAGAGTTTTTTTTTTTTTTGCAGATAAATCCTATCATTGTACAGAGAGCCTGGGTGCAATAAATCAAAATGTTTCTTATCTCTTATTTTCCTTAATGATATCGATAACCTCTAGGGCTGCTGAGTAAACAAAAGTCTTTTCTTTACTAACTTTGTGACTCATGTGTGTCAAAGGGCAGAATAAGCTGCATCTTGTCACAGAGGGTAAACAGCACTTTGTTAACAGAATGGATGGCTAAATGCTTTGTGAGTCAAAGCACCTTTCATAAAGCAGAATACCAGAAAGTGTCCCCAGAGGGGAGCCAACCATTTGCTTGACCTGCAGAGTGTACACACACACACACACACACACAAGCCTGTGGTGCGAGTTTAATTAAAACCAGTAAAGAAAAAGAAAATAGGTATATAAAAGAATTTTTAGATGTATTACTCACAATGAGTGTGGATATTGTTAGTTGAGACCTCAGTTATTTGTTTCTTGATTTTACCAACTGGAGTTTAAAATTTTAAAGCTAGTTAGGAGTCCACCACTTTTCCTGTGAGTGAAATATACCATTTTATATGGGAATATTTAAAGTAAACTTACATGTTTGCTTGTTACTTCCTTCCCTGCTGAATTTCTTCCCCTATCCTTCTCAGTCTCCCGGAGTACTGACCTGCAGTGTGTCTTACAGACCTTTGCATAAGATTCCTTTGCATCTTTCAAAAACTCACTTCTGATTTAAAAGTCGTTCAGATACAACTAAGGGAAGTATTTCTACACCGATGAAGTAGATTATGTGAGAATCATTATAAAATATGTATCAAGGTTTAGGGATTATATTGGTCTCCTAGGTAGCTATGAAGAAGGAGAAAAAAATTTACAATTTCAACCATAGCGACTTTAGCATCCAGATAAATTCAAAATTATTTATTCGATATTAAAGAAAAATACTGGGGTTTTGATAACTCACCAGGCCTATATATAAATGTATATATTCTCAATCTAGTAAAAATAAAGTTATCCAGTATATTATAATATGTGAACATGAAAAGTGTCATTAGCCCAGCTGGTGTGGCTCAGTGGTTGAGCGTTGACTCATGCACCAAGAGGTCGCCGGTTCGATTCCCGGTCAGGGCACATGCCCAGGTTGTGGGCCTGATCCCCAGTGTGGGGCACGCAGGAGGCAGCCAATTGATGTTCTCTCTCATCGATGTTTTTGTCTCTCTCTCCCTCTCCCTTCTACTCTCTATAAAATCAATAAAGAAAAAAAAAGTCCCATTAAGAAAACTGTTCCAATAAACCCTGTAATGGATGTTGTGCTTTGTACAGATTTCGCTGGGTGAACACAGTGCAGAACAGGCAGGTACCGGAGATACTTCTCCTTAAGGACCTTAACACCCTTGAGAAATAAATCTGAGTTGATACAGATCTCCACACTCAATCCTCCCCAGAAACGGGAAAAAAATTAGTCCCCCTTACTTCAAAGGAGACAAAGAGACACATAGTTTAGAGTTAAAAAAAAACCCAACAACTTGCAAGCATGGTTTCACCCTCATAATAAATATTGAATAAATATCTCTTTGAGAAAAATTTAACCTTTCCTGAGACTCCTCATGTCTCCTCCTAGTCCTTATATGAGGCCAATAAAAGAGATAACGAGCCCTGGAAAACAGGAGCAGATGCCTCTGTATTGCAGATAGGAATGAAAACAGTAGGTGGGTGGGGCTGGCTGGCTACTGGACTGAAATGTCATGAATATGCAATGAAACAAAGAAGGATAAGTATGGATAGATGAGTGAGAAAGTAGAAGAGAAAAAAGAAAGGATGAATGAATGACAGAGAGAAAAATTTTTAAACTTTTTTGGTATAAAAAGATGGAGCCTTGGCTTATTATTATTATTTTTTAAAATTGTGCTGTCCACAGATAGGATTAGTTTTGTTCCAACGGGAAATAACAAAGCCCCTCATTTCCTTCTGCCTATTAAATCATCCTCATCTGATCTTGTGTCATTGTTTTTCTAAGCATGATCTCTGTCTTTGCCTTGACCTTCCTACTTCTATTTGGTCACTAAAAAGTAAGGACTCTTAATATCGTCAGGACTTTGGTGAAGAACTGTACCAAGTATCTGTCTCCAGGCTCTCTGATTCAGTTGTTCCTGATCTGAGATAGATTAGCCTTTCTATAAACTCAGGTTCATTGGTTTTCTCCTGGAGTCCCTTATGGTTCTTATTTGAAAATGTTAACTGACTGCCAGACTCCTAGGCTTATAGTCAACACCTCTCTGACAACTCAGCACAGTCTAAATGGACCCTCAGGGCCAGCCAGAGCACAGCCTCAACGTGGTACAGTAATTCCCCTTCTTCTCCTTCTTCTGCTTCTTCTTCCTCTTCCTCCTCCTTCTCCATTCCTTACGCCCCTCCCCCTGAAATGCTTCCAGTTTCTTCTCTGATTAGGTAGTCTCCACCTCTGCTTCTCAAACTGTGTCCCAAAACCTTTCGGGACCCACATTTTCAACCTCAGGGCCCCTTAATACATCACCACTGTTGCTTCCAAGAGACTAGTTTAGAATTTATTTTTATTGAAATTCTATTCTAACAGAAAGTCAAAGCCAAACTAAGAGTGTATTTCTTTTTATATCTACAAAACATGGGTTAAAGGAAAACCTGTACCACCCAACACAGTACTCAATATATCAAAACCAGGTATTAAAGAAATGTCTCATTTATTTGCCGGGACTTTATAGAGCACATACCCTGAGCCAGACATTAACTAGACTCTGAAAATACAGATATCAAGGATACATGCTTTGCCCCGAGGGAGCCCATAATCTAGTAAGAAGACAGGCAAACTGGAAATTACATTACAGTATGAGCTTGTTACTTTATATGTAGGTGCAATATGCTAACCCAGGCTAGATTGCCAGGTAGGCATTCCGAGGAGGTGACAGACTGCTTCTTAATGACACCTAAGGATGGAGCCTAAGGGCGGATGCAACATATAACAAGGAAGAAATGGAGCTCCAGGTCGTGAAGAAGGATGCTTTCGAGGGCATTCAGGTGATACGGCAGGACTGAGGCTGAAGCCCATGGGGGATGGGAAGGAGAAACAGAAAAAGGCCAGAATGAGTTTCTGAGACAAAACCCCAGAAAGGACTTACATTTAGAACAACAACAATAGGAAGAGTCGCTGGGTATTTGAAAGACTGAGATATAAAGATAAAGATACATTTATTCTATAAAAAAATTAATAACTACCACTAGGATGAGTGGCTGAGAGCCAAAGAAATAAAAACTTGGTTGACAATAAAAAATAATTTTCTAGTCACTGCAGTTATAAAGAAAAACATGAAACACGGTCATATTAATGCTGTTCACGGTGACACTGAAAATGGATTCCTCATTTTTAGCAGGTATCTTACACGAGGGTACTGTTTTAAACAGTACAAATCTTTTTCTTTTGTGGGATGAGAGTAAACTTCCTTCTGAAGCACTGAGCATTCTAGGCCAAAGCAGACAAGCAGAGGCCAGACTACATCATTTAACATCTTTCTTTCTTCTGCTTATCTATGACACCGGCTGTTCAGGGGTTGGCAAAAGTAGGTTTACAGTTGCATTGTGACATTCTTTTGAGTTCATGAAGCTATTGCAATAATCATGACCTGGGTGTCTTTTTTTATACAAACAACCGTAAGTCTACATTTGCCCACCCTTGTAGATACAGCTGCTTAGTGACATTAGTTAGTACATTGTACATGATGCACGTGTATTAAATGATAGATGGATAAAAGTAAAATGAATGACTGTTTTTCACAGGCAGTGGCTTTGTCTTGTCATGAAAACCTACAATGAGGCCACTGTTCTCTGGTCTGGAACGCTTACATTGTGGTGCTGTTTGAAGTTGTAGGCTGGAGTTTCTCATTGCCCATCCTCCCTGACTGTGATGACGACTTTCAGTTGCAGGGCACCAGCAGCCCAGAGCTAACCCCCATTACCTCGGTGGTGAAAGAGTGTGTGAGATGGACCTCTGTAGCTAAGGTGTACTGCAGTCAGCCCAGCTGGCTTAAGTGTTTAAATGGCATAAATCAGGTTCCTCCAGCCTTATCTTTGCTTTCATTTCTTGGTCTGCCTCCTGTCCCAGGTTGGTTACCTTCCATTTTATTTCTGTAGAAAAGGGAAGTTTCCTCTACTTAAAAAAAAAAAGAGCTCCTTCTCTTTGACTTTCCCCCTGTTGACTTAGTTTTATAGATTCTAACTGGCATCATCATTTCTTGCTGATTCATATCCTTTGGCCAGTTTGCAGGGAAGAAAACCCCTGATACTCGTATCCTGAGTGGAATTATCTCATGATCCTATTAAACTAAGATTCATTCATTCCTTGAACACTCATTTTATTCTAGGCACAGTCTTATGCTCTCTGGGCACAAATAAACAGGTCCCTTCTCTTTTATGACTTCAAGTGTAAATGAAATGTAATAAGCAAGCTTCCGCCAGAGCTTCAGAGCCAATCAGACACTATATTTACACCTGCATACATTCAACCTCAGCCCCCTCCGTGTGTCTGCAAGATTTTTCCCCCGAGAGAGAAACATGTCAACATAAGGTCAATTATTCAGTTATTATTGTTGTTTGCTACTCATGTGAAAGTTTGTCAATCTTCATACCAATAGTGAAAATTTGAAATATTCTTTTTTCTCCTAAAAGTAGGGACAATATTTTACGAATATTACCAAACAGATCACTATTTTGTAATTTTGGGCTGGCTGTCTACCAACAGAAACATTTTGAGCTGTACTCACTCAAATCGTAAAACTCTTGAGTTTTTATATTCCCTTTTCAGATTACTTGATTGGAAGATCTCATCTAACTAAAAAAGAAAAGGTTAAAAAAAAGCATATTAAATTTAGGTGTAAACTTTTGTTTAAAAATGTAACTAATCATCTTTACGTTCTGCTTAGAACTGGATTAGGGGCAATTTCCCTCTCTGTGGGCACGAGGCTAATACATTCAAGCATCCTGGGCACGTTTCATTTATTTACTAATTCTTTTTTCAAAGTAAGAACAGGATCTATGTAACTTTTGGCAAGTAGTTAGTGAAACTATGTTATGAAATTGTAAACCAGCTGAAGAGAGACAATCTCCTACCATTTGTTGAAAGTCAAAAGCAAGAACTTTGAAATCCGCTGAGAGTTTATCTTGCAAATTAGGATTATATGTAGCTCCTGATGTTATTTTCAGTGTTCCCCTGGCTTCATAACTTTTTCCAAATCCTGCATCTACATAAATTAATAAGAAATAAAACACTTAAAATGTGAATGATAAGAGAGAAGACGCACATTCCGGTTAAGACATCAAGTTCTTGCTTCATGCGTTTGTGCTGTAGTTTTTGTTTGCTTGTTTGTTTGCTTTTTCTTTGCAGCCTTCATGTTTCATAATCAGCTGCTTTTTCTCCAATCTGATTGTTTTAAAAGATTAAAAACTAAACCTGTTCTCTGGCCTATTAATTTTTTTCCCCTTGTTCTTTAAAGTCTGACCCATACTCCCATACTCTATGCTTCCAAGCTTTCTTTCTCTTCCTTCCTTCCTTCCTTCCTTCCTTCCTTTCTTTCTTCCTTTCTTTCTTCCTCCCTCCCTCTCTCCCTCCCTCCCTCCCTCCCTCCCTCCCTCCCTCTCTCTCTCTCTCTCTCTCTCTCTCTTTCTTTCTTTCTTTCTTTCTTTCTTTCTTTCTTTCTTTCTTTCTTTCTTTCTTTCTTTCTTTCTTTCATTGAGATTCTTGTTGGAAAATACAGGAATGGTCAACTTCCACCAGTTCTGATTCTGATTCAGGGAAACATGGGGAGAACCGGACCATTAAACGTTTCCCACCCGGCGTCCAGGGGCACCGCTGATTTCTGCACATGGACTGCTGAGAAGGGTTCAGTGTGTTACTTTGAAGCATAGCTCTCAAGCAACTTCGTTCATTCTGATAATTATAAAATTGGCACGTATGACCTTTTGCCATTAGATGGTGAATGTTGTTATTAGGAAATTTATTGAGAATGGTGCAGAAAATATATTATCTCAATATTTTAAAATGTAAGGAAAAAGCTAATAAATGAAATATAAACATGGGCACTAAAATGTGCTATTAAATCCTGCATAATCGGCCAATAGAAACATGAAAAAATGCTCAAGGTCACTAATCATCAGAGAGATGCAATTAAAAACTACAATAAGGTATTACCTCACACCTGTCAGAATGACCACTATCAATAAATCAATAAACAACAAGTGCTGGTGAGGATGTGGAGCAAAGGGAGCCCTTGTGCACTGTGGGTAGGAATGCAGATGGTGCCGTCACTGGAAAACAGTAAGGAATTTCCTCAAAAAATTCAAAATGGAACTGCCATTTGACCTCATCATCCCACTTTTGGGAATATATCCTAAGAACTTCCTATGTCCATAGCAGCATTATTTACAATAGCAAAGAACTGGAAACAGCCCAAGTGTCCATCAGCAGATGAGTAGATAAAAAAGCTGTGGTACATTTGCACAGTGAAATACTAATCTGTTGTGAAAAAGAAGGAAGTCTTGCCTTTTGCAACAGCATGGATGGACCTGGAGAGTATTATGCTGAGCAAAATAAGCCAGTCAGAGAAAAACAAATACCATATGATCTCACTCATATGTGGAATCTAATGAACAAAATAAACTGACGAAGAAAATGGAACCAGAAACATGGATATGTGAAATAGACTGACTGGTGCCCAAGAGGAGGGTGTGGGGGTGACTGGATAAGGAAGGTGAAGGGATTAGCTAAGGAACATATGTGCACAGGCCATGGACATGGGCATAGTTTGGTGAAGGCCAAGGGTGGGGGAGATGGGCGTCGGTATGGGTGGGCAAAGGTGGGGAAAAATGTCAACATTAAAATTTTTTAATTAAAACAGTCTTGCACAATGCCTTTATCAGAATATTTTTTGCTGTTACGTATTTATATTTAAAATGAATTGCTTCAACTAAAACTTACACGATGATGAAATCATTAGTAAATGTAATAACAATGATACATGTTCTCACACTGACCTGGCATGACAATATCTATTTCCCTGGTAAGAAAACTGTAACTTAGATTCACTCAGAAAATTTTCCAAACTAATAGAGGTCATAAGTGACAGATATGAAATTTGGGCACATAACTGACTGATTCTTGAAGCCAGAATCTATTATATATTAACATCAAACTTCCCAGTTCAGAAGAAACGTTAGAAATAATATCTCAAACAATAAACGTGCATTGAGTTTAAATAGTTATCATTGTATAATTGATGTAACATGTATTATTTATACTATATTGTTTAATTTTTTTTTTCTTTATTAATTTTTAGAGAGAAGGATGAAGGGAAAGGTAGAGAGAGAAACATCAATGAGAGAAAACATTGATTGGCTGCCTCCTACATGCCCCCCACTGGGGATCAGGCCCACAATCTGGGCATGTGACCTGACTGGGAATTGAATTGGGGACCTCTTGGTGCGTGGGTTGACGCTCAACCACTGAGCCACACTAGCCGGGCTAGATTGTTGTTTTTTTTGTTTTTTTTTATTGATTAATTTTTGTTACAAATGATTCTCCTTTTTTCCCCCAGTGGTTCCCCCCTCCCCCTTCCCTCCCTGCCCCTTCCCCCGATTGTTGTCCATGTCCACTGTTCATGCCTATATGCATATAAATTCTGTTGTTCATCCCTCTCTCAGCTCCCCACTCCTTAGGGGATTGTCCTCAAACTGTTATGTTCATTATATTCCAGAAATCAGTGAGATCATATGAAATTTGTCTTTCTCTGCTTGGCTTGTTTCACTCAGGATGATACTTTCCAGGTCCCTCCATGTAGTCTCAAAGGACAAGAGAACTTTCTTTCTTACCGCTGCGTAGTACTCCATTGTGTATATGTACCACAGCTTTTTAATCCATTTGTCTACTGATGGGCACTTGGGCTGTTTCCAGATCTTAGCGATTGTAAATAGTGCTGCTACAAAGATGGGGGTACATATATTCTTTCTGATTGGTGTTTCAGGCTTCTTAGGGTATATTCCTAGAAGTGGGATCACTGGGTCAAATGGGAGTTCAATTTTTAATTTTTTGAGGTGACACCATATTGTTTTCCATAGTGGCTGCACCAGTCTGCATTCCCACCAACAGTGTACCAGAGTCCCCTTTTCTCCACACCCTCGCCAACACTTGTGGTTTGATGATTTGTTGATGGCGGCCATTCTGACCGGTGTGAGGTGATACCTCATTGTTGTTTTGATTTGCATCTCTCTGATGATTAGTGATGATGAACATTTCTTCATATGTCTCTTAGCCATTTGTATGTCCTGTTTGGAGAGGTGTCTATTTAGTTCCTCTGCCCATTTTTTAATTGGATTCTTTGTCTTCCTTTTGTGGAGTTGTATGAGCACTCTATATGTATTGGAAATTAACCCCTTATCTGATATATCATTGGCAATTATGCTCTCCCATACAGTGGGTAGCCTTTCCGTTTTGATGATTGTATCTTTCGCTGTGCAGAAGCTTTTGAGTTTGATGTAGTCCCATGTGTTCATTTTCTCCTTTGTTTCTATTGCCTTAGGTGATGTGTCAGTAAAAATTCTGCTGCGTATGATGTCTGAGATTTTGTTGCCCACAGTCTCCTCTAGGATTTTTATGGATTCATGGGTTACATTTAAGTCTTTTATCCATTTTGAGTTTATTTTGGTGTAGGGTGTAAGTTGATGGTCTAGTTTCATTTTTCGGCAAGTAGCTGTCCAATTTTCCCAGCACCATTTATTAAAGAGGCTGTCCTTACTCCACTGTATGCTCTTGCCACCTTTGTCAAATATTAATTGAGCATATTGCCTAGGGTCCATTTCTGGGTTCTCTATTCTGTTCCACTGGTCTATATACCTGTTCTTGTGCCAGTACCAGGCTGTTTTGATTATGGTGGCTTTGTAGTATAACCTGAAATCTGGTATTGTGATCCCTCCAACTTTGTTCTTCCTTTTCAAGATTGCTGTGGCTATTCGATAGATTGTTGTTTTAATACTCAAAATTACATTTGTATTTGCATGCTTAAATGTAAAAGACAAGAAAAAACTGAGATAAGAAAAAACAAGAAAATCATTCATGAACTGGAGACTAAGGCATCATGATAAATAACTCATGTAGGAGTCGGCATTGAATCCTCAACAGATAAAGGACATTAATGGAAAAACTGGTGGAATTTAAATAGAGTGTTCAGTCAATAATGTACCAACGTTAATTTCTTGGCCATAACAATTGTGCTATGAATATACAAGATATTGATGTCAGGGGAAATTGGGCAATGGTTATATAAACTCAATTTTTTTTGCAACCTTTTTGTAAGTCTAAAATGATCTCCAATAAAAAAAGTAAAACAATGTGTATTAAAAGTGGTATGTCTTATGTCTTCTTATGTTTTATTAAATTTAACTCAAATCTTTTTTTATATTAAGTTGTTCACTATTAAATCATATAAATATTTATTTTCTATTTTACTTAAAAGATAACTTACTTTTGTTTCTTTATTGAGATCTAAGAGTCCAGTGATTATATATCCTTGAAGTTATTCACAATGTTTAAATAGGACCAAGTAACTACTTTCTATAAGTCCCAGAGAATCTCTATAATTTATTTAATTATTCATATAATCATATAAAACAGCCACAAGACCTCCTTCACTTTAAAATATATCCCTCATATATGGTTATAGTATTTACTTATTATTATTTAATTTATTTTATTTTTTTATCCTCATTCGAGGACATTTTTTCATGTTTGTTCAGATAGAGTGGGAGGGAGAGAGGGGAAGAGAGAGAGAAAGAGAGAAACATTGACATGAAAGGGACACATCGAGTGGCTGCCTCCTGCACGACCCCAACCAGGGCTGGGGACGAATCACAACTGAGGCACAAGCAAACTAAAAATTATATTTATCAGATTCTAATTTTAACTTATTTACTAGAGAAAAACAGCTAACTCACAGGCTGAGAATTTTCTTAGTAAAATTCTGATCACTCACATGAAAAAATTTTTACCTTGTGAGTTTTCAAAAAATTAATATGACCATATATGCAGTAATTCATAACTTAAAAACTATAAAAATTTTCTCAGAAAAAATGAACCCAATACTCAGGTTACTATTATGCTGTCAATATTATAAAATTTACCATATAAATTAGTAAATAGTATATAAGAGCATAAGTCCTAGAGTTGGATTGTCTAGTTTGGAACTTCTATCTAGTAATGATGCAAATTTAATCAAGTTACTTAAATTCTCTGTCTCAGATTCATTACCTATAAAATGATAACTCATAGGTTTGTTGTAATGAGAGAATACATTTGAAGATCCTTGAAAAGTTGTTGGTACATATAATTTAGCTCTAATAATAGTTATCTCTTTTTTTTTTTTTTCTGTTCATCAAAACTTGTTACTCAGGCAGCCTCAGATCTTTATAAATTTACATTTACATTCTCTTATATTGTTGCAATTAAAATTGTTAACCTAATAAGAGAATGAAAATATCATTCTCTAGAAATGAATAATACTTTTATTTACCTTTTTATCAAGTTATATAGTCAACAACACTTTAATATGTCTACAATTTAAATTCTATCGGAATTAACCCACAGTCTATAAAACTTACTTTGTTATATGTTGAAACTCAAAAACCTATTTAACATTTTGTATAAAAAAATCTTATTTTCATACTTGTATTCTGAGTTAAGTTTCAAAATATGACCAACTAATTTTTCTAATATTCTATGAAAGCATCTGAATGCAACATACATGTCTTGTCGTGAAAGCACAGCAATTAATGCAATATACGGACAGATGACCGAGATGGCAGTGGTACACCCATCTGAGAGCCCTCAGGAGCCAGCTCCATGGGACTTACCTCTGTCTGATTCCTTGATTGCCAGCCAGGACACTGCAATCAGCCCCGCACAGAGAACCACCAGAGCCGCAGAGAGAGCTGTACAGACTATCTCATAGGTGCTGAGAGAACGATGCCTGCCAGGCGCACTTCCTTTGGATACCATTTTTGGCTGTTGAAGATATGCTAATCTAAACACTGAGAGGACATAAAAACCCGCACCAACTGGAGAGAAAAATCTCTTAAATTTTCCAAAATAGATGTGGAAAGCAACAAGGTAAATCTACACGAGTCTTCCTGGTCAGTGTGAACCCAGTTGTGTGTGCCCAAAGGGCAACATTATGTCTCTATACGTTAAGCAGATTTAAAAGGGCAGTTAATCTTTAAGAAGATATAAATGCGGGAAGAGATACCCAGAGTTGTAAACGTTAATCATCTGAACTGGCCATTTGTTGAGATGAATGAAATTAAAAGCATGCTGTAAACAAAATGGACACTTTATCAGTTTGAAAACCATTAGGAAAAATGTAAAATTCGTGATGAACAAATTGGTCATTAGGCACGTGCATTTAATATTTGTAGAGTATTCCTAACAGATCAACATTCTATACTCTGACCCAGGTCATGATTAAGGCATTTCTCCTGTTCAAAGTAGGTGTAGACAGTCTAAAAATAACTTTTATGCACAGGTAGATGTAAAGCCTAACATATATATTAAAAATGACCTCTCTTTCTCTGTATGTGTATATATACCCATATATTTCTTATTGAAGCAATCACAAATTTCGCAGTCTTCATTCTATCACCCAAGTGAAGTTCTGCTATTTAAGGCAGCATTGATTTAACTTAAAGGAAAGTTCCCTTAAACAAGGCATCAAATGGCTACTCTTTATGGCTTCCTGCAGTTTCCAGTGAATGGGAGCTGCTGTGAGGAGAATAAAGCATTTGTTTCTATTTTAAGAAAGTGTTCTGTGTAGGAAAGATACTGCTTACTCACCCTGGACTTTATCTTGGTAAACATGCCAATTACAACAAGAGAACAGGTTATGATAACTACACTCAGAACTGTAGATGTACGCTTTCTGGGAATATTAAGCCTGTTTTCTGACAAGTTAAGTACAACTTATCGTTGGAACTTCCACCTCTCGGATAACAATGAATCTCGAATTCAAAAATGAACGCAGGGTGGGGCAAAAGTAGGCTTCAGTTGTTCACAAGGAACATAATAAAATAATAAATAAGAATATAAGAATAAACTCTACTTTTGCCCCACTCTGTAAATACAATTGAACCTATTCTGGAGTAAACCCGTTTGCCTTTTTTTTATCCTCGTCGGAGGACTTTTTTTTTTTTTTTTGCATTTATCTTTAGATAGAGTGGGAGGGAGAGAGAGACGAAGAGAGAGAGAGAGAGAAACATGGATGTGAGAGAGACACATTGAGTGGCTGCCACCCACAGGACCCCAACTGGGGCCGGGGACAAACTGCAACCGAGGTACATGCCCTTAGCGGGAACCGAACTGGGGACTCTCTGGTCCGCGGGCAGAGGCTCTCATCGCTAAGCCAGACTGGCCAGCCCGTTTGCCTTTTGATCTGGTAAGCAGAAGTGGCCAGGGGTAGTGAAGTCCTAGATCAGGGGCCCTTAATACACTGAATTTGTGGCATATTACAATTGGCTAACATGAGCGATGGCTACTTTCCCGCCTTCTTTAACACTAAAAGAAGAAAAGCGAGCACCGCAGTCTAAAATCCCTGCTCGGAAAAAGTAGAATATAAATTTTAAAAAATGTATGTTATGGGATACCTTTTATACTTTCTATTTAACTAAATAATACTATTTGTATTATTAGGCACTTTAAAATATACATGAAATGAGAGATTCCACTGATGGAGTTGGGAGAGGTTCATTTTACTTCTGTCCTGGCAGATGATTTTAAAAATAGGCCAGTCCTGCTGGTGAGGCTCAGTGGTTGAGCGTCCACCCAGGCACCAAGAGGTCGCGGGTTTGATTCCCAGTCAGAGCGCATGCCCAGATTGTGGGCCAAATCCTCAGTAGGGTGCATGCAGGAAGCAGCCAATCAATGTTCTCTCTCATGGATGTTTCTATCTCTCTCTCTCCCTTCTTCTCTCTCTCTAAAAAGAAAAAAATTCAAGAATAGGTCATATGGTTAGATGTTAGATAAAATTGTAAGCTGGAGAATGACCTTTTGAATCTGGGGAGCCAAAAAGATGGAATCACAATTACTGTTTTCTTTATCATAGCTGATGCAGTTGCAATTACTTTTTGGGAAATCAAGAAGAACTTTATTATATTTCATTTGAATATTTATAAGGGAAGGAGAAAATAACAAAATGAGTTTACACGTTCTGCTCCAAGCACAGTGTAGTAAGATATTATGTATAAGATTGAAAACCAAAAATTATAGTTGGGTTCAGAAACAAAATCAACAATTGTGTCATAAATTCTGCTCAAATTATTTGTTTTGAGCACACTTAATACGTTCAAATGAATGAGTGGAGAAATAAATTTCTTTTTTATTTTTATTAAAATTTTTTTTTCCTTTATTGATTTTTAGAGAGAGAGGAAGGAAGAGGGAGAGAGAGAGAGAGAAACATCGATGAGAGAGAACATTGATTGGCTGCCTCCTGATCCCCCACTGAGGATCGGGTCCACAACCTGGGCATGTGTCCTGATCAGGAATCGAACCAGCGACCTCTTGGTGCATGGGTTGATGCTCAACCACTGAGCCACACCAGCCAGAGAAGAATCACTTCCTTTAAAAAATGCAACCATTTATGAAAGACCAACTGAAAGCTTACAAACTGGTTATTGTGAAAAAGAAGAAATCACGTCTTAAAAATTTAAAGTTATTCAAATTAAATAGAACTTGTTTTATCAGATAACGTAACACATTACAGAGTTATAATAAAGAGTATGTGTTTATAGTCCAGGAGCAGAAAATATCTCAGTTGAACAGTATAAAGAGCCATAGACAACTTGATTCACATATGGACACTTCATGTATCAATATGGCAGTGTCACTATAATGGGCGAGGCAAGAATGAGTGTTCAATGAATTATTCGGGTTGGTTGGTTATCTACCTCATGATAAATAAAACTACTGTAGATCCTTATCTTACATCATAAAGAAAAATAAATTTTAGGTGGGTTAAATTACATAAAAACTACAGAAAACTTCAAAGAATATGTAGGATGATGTCTTTCTGATGACAGGGTACTGAAGGTTTTCTTTTTTAATTAAAAAATAAAAAGACAAGCCCTGGCCAGTTTGGCTCAGTGGTTGGAGCGTAGGCCTGTGGACCAGAGAGTCCCAGGTTCGGTTCCTGCTAGGGGCATGTACTAAAAAATAAAAAAATAAAAAGACAAACCAGAAAGGCAAATATGAATCATGTCTACAAATTAACACATAAAAGACAAACAGCAACAATCAATAAAAACACAAAACCAAATAAGAAAAAAACCCACAAACTTACAAATATCTGAAGGTACTCAACTTGAATAGATGTTCAAATTTGGTAGTAATTATGGAATTCCAATAAAAATAAAATGAAATATCATTGCATTCAAACATACTAGGGAAAACCAGAAAAATCTATATTGAGTATGATGTTGGCTGTAGGTGTTTCCTATATGGCCTTTATTATGTTGAGTTATGATCCCCCTATTCCCACATTGCTGAGCGTTTTTATCAGAAATGGGTGCTGGATTTCGTTGAATGCTTTTTCAGCATCTATTGATATGATTATATTGTTTTTATCTTTTCATTTTGTTTATGTGGTGTATCACATTTATTGATTTGAGAATATTGTACCAGCCTTGCATCCCTGGGATGAATCCCACTTGGTCATGGTGAATAATTTTTTTTGTGTATTGCTCGATCTGATTTGCTAATATTTGTAAAGAATTTTGGCATCTATGTTCATCAGGGATATTGGCCTGTAGTTTTCTTTCTTTGTAGTGTCTTTTTCTGGTTTTGAAATTAGAATTATGCTGGCCTCTTAAAATGAGTTTGGAAGTCCTCCTTCTTGGGTTTTTTGAATAGTTTGAGGAGAATGGATGTTAGATCTTCTTTGAATGTTCCGTAACACTCCCCCATGAAGCCATTCAGGCTTGTACTTTTGTTGGCTGGGAATCTCTTTGTTTCATTGATCTTTTGAATTGTTTTTCTGGTTTCTATATCATTTATTTCTGCTCTGACTTAACTATTTCTTTCCTTCTACTTGCTCTGGAGTTTTCTTTTTGTTTGCCTTCTAGTTCTTCAAGTTGTGAGGTTAGATAATCAATTAGAAATTTTTCTTGTTTCTTGAGGTAGGCCTGTAGTGCTATGAACATCCCTCTCAGGACTGCTTTTGCTGGGTTCCATAGATTTTGTGTTGTGTGTTCATTTTCATTGGTTTCTAGGAAGTTTTTAATTTCTTCCTTGATATCCTTGATAACCCACTCTTTGTTTAATAACATGCTAATTAATCTCCATGTATTTGAATGTTTTTGTTGCAATTGATTTCTAGTTTAATGCCATTGTGACCTGAGAAGATGCTTGATATGATTTCAATCTTCTTGAACTTGTAGAGACTTTGTTTGTGTCCTAACATGTGGTCTATCTTTGAGAATGCCCAGTGTGCACTTGAGAAGAATGTGAATTCTGCAGTCCTAGGGTGTAATTCTCTGTAGATATTTATTAAATCCATTTGATCTAGTGCATCATTTAGAGTCTCTGTTTCCTTGTTAATTTTTTGTCTAGAGGATCTATCCAGTGATGTCAGTGGGGTGTTGAAGTCCCCTGCTATGATTGTATTGCTGTTGATTTCTCCTTCGAAGTCCTCAGAAGTTTTTTAATGTATTTTGGTGCTCCTATTTTGAGTGCTTATTTGTTTACCAAGGTTATATCCTCTTGTTGGATAGATCCTTTCAATATTATGTAGTGGCCTTCTTTGTCTCTAGTTATGGTATTCATTTTGAAGTCTATTTTATCAGATACGAGTATTGCTACTCCAGCTTTTATTTCCTTTCCATTTGCTTGGAAGATTTTTTTCCATCCCTTCACTTTCAACCTATGTGAGTCTTTTGTTGTGAGGTGGGTCTCTTGTAAACAATATATGTATGAGTCATGCTTTCTTATCCATTCAATTACTCTGTGTCTTTCGT